TGCTTTTTTGGGTTCGTACGAAGCATTTTGTCTTTTCAAAAATGTTACAAGTTTAAAATAAGTAGAAATGTTAATATTTTCTTTAATGTTAAGCACGGATTTGATCATAGAATACTTGGCCCACAAAGTTCAAGCCTTTTTTTTTGAGCTAGTTCTTGAAAGTAAACTAGCAATACATTTTCTGACGTCTTTGATATATTTTTTTCATCGTACCATTTTTATATGAAATGTAGGCCTTTTCGTATATTCCTTGTGATTTTTTTGGTAATAGTTCTACTTCTTCGGCCAGTGCTTTAATTTCAGGAGGAGTACAACCGCTAGAATCACTTATTTTTTTTTTAATTTTGTGACTAACTCGACCACCAGCAAAAAAAATTTCATTTAATTCTACGTATACACTGTAAATTCTATAGGTACTAAACTGACGTTTGTGTTTTACATTTAATTGTCACAAGCATGGATGATTTGATTTGAAAAAAGTTTGAAATCGTTTTTATTAGTTTTAAAAACTTATTTTTTTTTTTTTAATTAAAATGCTAGTAGTGTAAAAAATAGTATATGAGCCACTTCTCTACCTTGGCGCATAATATACTATTTTATGAGCTGTAAACAATATTTCGAAATAAAATAAAAACAGTAAAAACATATATGTCAAATTTATTGATGTTTTTGTTAAAAGTTTGGTTAGAATTAAATGTCAGTGGAACCAAAATAACATCACACTGAACTAGCGCATTCCAATCCGAGATTCAGTAAATGTACACAAAAGCACGCAAATGTAATTTTTGACCAGGGCCGCAATGAGGACAACATTTTATTGCAATGAAGTTTTAATATATTTAAATTAAGAATTTTAGAGATATACATTTTCAATACCTTAATACCAACGAAAATTGGAAGAAAATATATTAAAAATATACAAGGTGACACTTAGAGCGGTATTTATGAAGGAAGCCATCATATACATTTTTCTAGTATTAAACAAATATTTAAAAAAAGTTAGAACAGGTTGGAATAGCATTTTCAATCGTCGACGTGAAAAAACACAAATATTTATATTGAGTGAAGATTATTGTATTTACTGTTGCCATTCTAGTTCGACAGAAGACGTATCACTCTCATTCACATTTATTACAAATTGTTCAATTTGTTGCTCTATAATATTGTCTAAATTCCACATTTTTTTGCTCCACTTTTTACTGCACGTGATCAATGCATTTCTTCAACTTTTCTGACGTGCTGAATTTAAAAAAGAGTTAGATATATTGGCTGCGCAACAAGCTATCCGTGAGGTAGATGAGATTACACCTAATGCAAGTATTAATAGAATTGTATTAGTTAAAAAAAATAATGGAAAAATTAAGCTTTGCTTAGATCCCTCTGATCTGAACTCCCAAATTGTCCGCAAACCAAAATTAGGGCTAAATATTGAAGAAGTATATGCAGAGTTAGTCGGTAAAAATATATTCACAGTATTTGACCTTCTAGAAGGCTATCACCATTTACAACTGAACGAAGAGTCATCAAAAAAATGTTGCTTTGCAGCCCCATTCGAGATCTACAGATTTATAGTTTTACTATATCTCTTTCAAAAAGTGGTAGAAAAAATTTTACAATTTGCCATGTTATGTTATGTTGAGAATGGGGTGTTAATACACTGCGACCTAAAAGATCTATTGTACCCCCTTGTGTCGCCAATGCACTAAGGAAATGTCTCAATGCCTATAACGACCCTTCCAATCCTATTTTTTCAAGGAAGTGTAGAATTTGAGGTGGCTTCAAGTTAGGTAAATCTCCCTCTTCTATTTGATATCCTCCTAGATATAGTGCCTTTTGATCCTGGAGTGCTACACATTCAGTTACGATGTGAATGGAGGTTTCGTCCTCCTCCTCATAGACTCTATACTCACTATCCTCTACTACTCTCAGTTTACTTAGGTGTCCTTTTAGTCAGCAATGCTCGGTAAGGATCCCTGTTGCAATACGTAGCCTGTTCTTACTCAGGCAGATGCAGGCTTTCGATCTTTTCTGGTTATATTCACCCAGAAGTATCTTGGCTTGTCTTAGCCCCAAGAGATTGTTCCAATTATCAGTTCTTCTACTGCCCAATTCTTTTTTTAATCTCTCCTAATATTATGTTACTGCTGATACCGCAGAACGGCGCAGGTCCTACAAAGGGTGTTTGAGCCCCTTTCCTTGCAAGAATATCTGCAATCTCGTTACCCTGTTCCCTGTTATGTCTCAGGACCCAAGTGAGAGTAACTCTATTTTTCTCGCCTAGCTCATTCAATTGTTCTAGGCATCTCCAGACCATTTTTGAGCTGATTACGTAAGAGCTCAGCGCTTTTATGACTGCTTGACTATCGGACATGATGATAATCTCTTGTCTATTATAGTTTTTCACGATGTTAAACTGCATACACTTCCCGATGGCGTGAATTTTCGCCTGGAAGATGCTTGGGTATTTTCTCAAGCTTCCGGAGTGCTTGATTCTCGGCCCATACACTCCTATTCCAGTTCCTTCTATGGTTTTGGAATTGTCCGTATACCACTGAATAGCACGTCTTTCGGTTGCAAACGCGATGGATTCTTGGCTCTATTCTTTCTTGCTCTGTGGTTTTGAAGTTTTTCACAAAACTGTACTTCTTTAGCATTTCATCCTGGGGAATGTCCCAGGTATCTTTAGTCCTGAAGCAAGTAGACTTTCGTATGATTACTCCGTTCCCGATCCATTCTATATCGTGTCCTTTTTGCCACATTCTCTATCATCAAATGTAGAGGGGTGAGGTTTAAGATCACCTCCATTGCGGCCGTAGGACAGGTTCTCATTGCACCAGTAATGCAAACACAGGCTAGTATTTGTACTTTTGAGATATTAGCTCTCGTAGTAGCTAAACTAGTTCTGTTACTCCAGGCTATAGCGCCGTAAGTGACGATTGGTCTTACTATTGCAGTATACATCCAACGCAGTATGTTTGGGTTACATCCCCATCGTTTACCTGCAATGCTTCTGCATACCATTAGGGCTTTTGTGGCCTTATTTACTACTTCCTTCTCATGTGTGTTCCAGGAAGTTTATTGTCTAGAGTTAGGCCTAGATATTTAAATTCATTTTTCCATTCTATATCTATCCCGTCTAATTTAACGGTTTTGAGATAAAGTTTTCTTTTCCTTGAAAAGGCTACTACTGTTATTTTTGTAAGGCTTATATATATCATAATTTTAATCCTCCCAGCCAAAATTATGATATTTAAAATCTAGTTAAAAACTAGTTACTTTAATGGCATTAATTTCTGCCCATAGAATACAGACTATATCAAATATTTTAATAGCAAACATTGATAAAAGGGGGATGAAGACTATTATTTCTTTATTTCAATAGTAATAGTAATTTTAGTTGAAAATGATACACATAGATTGTCTGATAAACGTCTATTTTTTTTTAATAGTTACATAAAACATAATTAAAACCATAGTAACACACATTAAACACCTTAATTTAATCTTTAACATTTCTCTCCCCAAGTAATTGTTCTTCAGTTTCAATTAGTTCCTAACATCAAGGACAATGAGTTTAGATACTGGTCGCTTATAAACTGTTCCTGCTTGATTTCGTACATCAACTATTCTTGTTCTGCCGTCTTTAGCAGTATACAGTTTGATAACTAACCTCTTTTGCCAGGAATTTCTCGGTCCACTGGGATCCACCATAATAACTACGTCACCAAAATGAATTGGTTTACCCTCTTGGAAGCATTTTGTTCTTCTTATTAAGGTGGGTAAGTATTTATTTGTCCAACGAAATCAAAACATATCGAACAATCTTTGAGCTGCGCGCCAACTGGACAACAGATTTACGTCTCTGTCATGTATTTCTGTGCAAGGAAGAGCAACTGAAGAAGGCCCAATAAAGAAATTATTGGGTGTTAAAGCTTATTGGTCAGCTGGATCAAGCGATACGTGAACTAAAGGCCTGGATTTTAAAATATTCTCACATTCTTTCAAGAAGGTTCGTAAAACATGTTCATGAGGGTACTTCTCAACTAAAATTTGTCTCAGAATTTGTTTTACGGATTTATTAAGTCTTTTCCAGCAACTTCTCATGTGTGCTGCTAGTGGTGCATTACAGAACCACTTATATCTTTTAAGTGCACACATTTTCATGATTCCTGACTAGTCTAATTTTTGAAATTCTAAAGAGAGTTCTCTTTCAGCACCTTTAAAATTACTACCGTTGTCGCTAAAGATTTCGTCAGGAAAACCACGTCGACATCCAAATTGCCTCAAAATATTAATGAAATTAATGAATACATTAGAAGTTAAATCATGAGCTAGTTCTAAATGAACTGCCCCGTATCTCTTTTCGTGACTTCTTTTCACTGTCACTTTAACGGGTCTAAAATAGTCAATACCGGTTTTTATAAAAGGTTCAATTCTACATTCCGATAGTTTACCCATTAAAAACACAGCTGGTACAGCCTTACTGTTTTTACAGTATTGGCAATTCTTTAATAAAACAGATTTTACAGTTTGCCTAAGTCTTGGAATCCAAAATTTATATCTTAAGTTATTGACAACTGTCTCTTGTCCTTGGTGGTAATTCCTCGTGAAAGTATTGAATAATGAGTTTGGTAATTTGGTGTTTAGGGTCTAAAATAATCGGTTGTTTTGTGTCAGGACGATATCGAGATTTGTCTAGTCGTTTATTTAGTTTAATAATTTTGGAAAAGGGGTCTACTGCCCAAAATAGTTTGGGACTCATTGATGTAGAGGGTAAACAAATAACAAATCACTGATCACTGCCCCACTTCAAGTAGTTTGTCTCAATGATATTTTTGTTTTGTAGAAATTTAATGTTTTGGTAATTAAATACATAATAATTACAAACCAATTGTTATTGTGTATTTTATTTGATTTTATAAAAAAAATATTATTAATGACTCATTTGTGTTTTGAAGGAATGTAGCCCAACTCAAAAAAATTCCTGAAGCATCCTTTTCCTCTTTTTGTATAAGAAGTCTGGTCACCTTAGCTCATGGAGTCACCGTACTTGGTTATAGTTTTCAAAGTCAATTTTACTATCTTCAATGGCCGACGTTGTTCTGGTTTCGGAATTACTTTAAGATTGTAACATGCTATTCTTTCTTGAATCTGTTCTCTCTTCTTTATAATACTTTATGAATTAAGATAAATCGTGTCATTATTAAAGAGTATACTACAGAGAGACAAACCAGGTGCGCTACGAGATTTATTAGTGAATACGCCTCTAGATTCGTGCGCAGAGAAATTATGGAGGAATTATTCGTAAGAACAGAGAATTGAATTTTGGATCGAATTTGGCAAAATTTTAACAGGGAAATACGGTTTTTTTTTTTAATTTAACGGCAACCGTTTGAGCTAGAAAGATGCGATTTGCAGCGTTGAACTTCTCTCTAAAAAATATTGCGATATCTTAAAGCAATTTTTAATATTTGTGTTTTGGAAGCACTACCGTTAGAGATAAGCCCATACGGAGTCTACGCGACGTGAAAATCGAACATTAAAATGTTAAGATATTTAACAGCGATTTTGGAGCACTTGTCGTAGAGGTAGACAAAAAGCCAAGATATTTTCGGAAGCTACGTCTCGAAATTTATAAAACTCGCATACGTTCGCGTTCAAAATCTTCCACTTGTATCGAATTTTCAATTCCAACCTTACTATTACATCACCTCAGGAGAAAATAGTAGCCATGTAGGGCATAAAAATAACATGTCATTAAAATGCGACTACGTAGAAGCTGTCATGAAGATTATTACATGTGCTTTACGTAATGAATGAAGGAGTAAAGGTAGTATTAGCTTGTACTATTTTAACTGATCGTCATTTTAGTTTATGATTTTAAAAAGATTGCTGATATTTTAAAGTACTATCAGGTGTTAATCAGTTTCGGAGCAGAAAATAACAAGAGATTAATAATTGCTGTTGAACGAATTACAACCACTCTTTAGTATGCGCTCACTGATTCGGACTTTATTGCTTGGAAGAAAATTCCTGACTCCATAATAGAAGTAATAATTAAAAATATGTACATTAAAATATATGAAGGTCAAAAGAAGAATACGATAAACGACTTTAGGAGGATAATATTTTCCAAAAAAAAAGAAAGCCCCTCTACATAGAATTCTCTTCTGCATTACTGTATGCGATCAAGATACCAAACCGGTATTTAGGGTTGCTCCAAAGAGGGTTGCTCGCATATCAGAAAAATAAAACCACCAGATCTATGACAGATATAGATGGTTGGAAGAAAGAAGGTAACAGACTTCTTTCTATTTGTAAAAAATAAGCATACTTTTTAAGTATTCGTCTGCAGTATTTAATTAGTTTCTCATTATAATAAGAGTTATATTGAACTGCAATTAAATAACTACTTTTTTTCTGCGTATGAGAAGACCACCTCTAGTGTCCAAGTTGATTAAGTCACCTCTGGGAACGCCACAGGCCTCGGACATTACTTAACAACTGTAGTTGTAGTCAATCAACAACAGCAGAATCCGTAATATTCGGGAGCGCTTAGTATGAAAATTGCCATCCAAGGACGTACCAGAGCCGAAGTCTTTGACAATTGATCACTCAAGATATTATAGTGTAGTCAAGCTACACTACGAGTGCTTCTTATTAATTAAATTTATTACTAAAGTCATACTTGCTACATTGTTGAGGGCCTTCAACAAGAAATGGCTATATATTAAAACATTTTCCTTATTAGCTATTAGTTTTATTAAAAATGTCATCAGAAGAAAAGTTATAGATAAATTTATACTGAACATATTTTCATTACAATGTTTTCATATATTTGAGTTATACTAAAAATAAGATACAAAACCAGTTTTTAGTAGCCACCATTTTGATTTTTTTGAAATGTGAGTTTGTCTTCTCTCAATATAATGTCATTATCGGTCTTACCGCCATGTTGTATACTCAATGTAACATACCTGATTTCAATCCTCATTGTTGTCCAAAGGAGCGTCTTACCGTCACTACTGATGTTTCCGTTATCCCTGTCAATAGAGAAGCCTAAATTATGTGGGGAAACCCACCCTCTCTGCTTTATATGTACAGAAACTATAGTAAATTTATAAATTAAAAACACATTATTGGAATTTGAGATTGCGTTTATATATTTCACAGATTTGAACGACTACAACACATTTATTTGACATTATTATATTTTGTTGTCTACATCTACTTCTGTTCTTCTTTCGTTACTGATCCGTTGACAAGATGGCCGCATTTATTGCAGATCTTCTTCATTTCGATGAAATTTATGGCTTGATGGTCAACCGATTTTGATCTATTCTGACTGTGGTAAAGAAGGTCTAGTGGTTCGCTTGACGGTGATTGGAGACATTCAAAGTCGCTCTCTGAAACAAATAAAGATCGCTACAGAAGCTATATAACTTAGATTGAAAATAAACGCAGAAATATCTAAAAACAATAGGACAACCAGGAAAGAAGCAAGTTAAAGAAATGATCCTTAAAGCTAACAGAAAGAGAAACATATCATGAAGAAAAAACCGATAGAATTGTTAAAAAGAACAACATATTGGGCTGACTGCAACCAAGGAAAAGGGGAATACCGAGAAAAGATAGCGAGAGGATACAGAAGACGATATAAGGATCCTAGAAATAACGAACTCACCAAAATTTGTAACTCACCTGAGGAAAAGAATTATCCATCTCAACAAATGGTTTTTAATAATATGTTGCGTTAGCCATATTCTAAAGATTTAACGACTGTTTGATGAATAATAATTATATTAATTACTCAAAATGACCAGCGTTTTGTCGTAATTTTATTATCCAGGGCTAAGTTCAATGAAATTGAGCTTACTCTTCAACAACTTTTCAGAACACAAGCGAAATTATTAGAAAATTTTAATTTTAACGTCGTTGATCATTATTCATGTTCAATCTTTATTTTGGTTGTTTTTGGGTTACACGGTTTTTTCTCCAGCGGTTTTTGCCTCAGAATCTTGTAGTTTATGTTTATTTTATCGTTTCTGACATTATTTTTTCGTATTAGGCATTAGTCGTATTCAAGTTAATAAAATGACAACAGGGCAACAGCGAGTCGTCGACAAGAATTAGGAGATATGGTGGTGGCATATTAGCTAAACTGAGAGCACAGCGATAGCGGGGATATCGTAGTTGTCACATGTTGGCTGTAAAAGCACGGCTATGCCTAATACAAAATAATAAGTACTGTATATAAATATTTAATAAATTGTCATTTTGGTTATTAAATTAAAAAAAAACACAAGCAACACGTACTGAAGTGCTTTTGTAGCAAAAAACCAGGACCTGATTCAGAAAAATAGAACAAACAATATGGAAATAATGGAAGTATGATAAAAACAGTAACTACAGACTGCATTGCAACAAATGCAAAACAACATGAAAAATATGCTAAACCAAGTTAATATCTTAAACAAAGAAAATTTCCAACGAATTATGAAACTGATAAAGACGAACTGGCAAGAGAAGTCGGCGATTAAATTAATAAAGAAGTAGAATAGATAACAGCGAAAAGTAGAAAAAATAAGAGAAAATAATGAAAAGCCTACTCCTCTCCAGAAACCTAGCCTGGCCAACCTAGATGTAGCAAAACTCTATAACAAGAAAAAGAAATTGTCGACAAAACAGTAAAACTTCTCCCAATAATAGCAAGCAACATCAATAAGACTGAAGAATTATTGCGCTATACGCTGACTAAAAATAATATTTCCTTTCAAGTCACAGTTCTTGGCAATAAATAGTTTAAAATTAATACTAAATAAGAAGAAGATTTCAACAATGTCAAATCAACCTTGAATTCCGAGGAGATAAATTGGCATTCCTATGAGCTTATGAAATTAAGTTGGAACCAAATAGAAAACTTTTTTATTATTGGTTTTGTGAAAAAATGTATTCGTAATAAAAAGTTTTGCATGGTCCAAAACTTAAAATGTCAATTTTTTTAAGCTGTATACGAGATTTGCCAAAAAATATGAGTTTTACTCAAGAGTAAAGTACCTTTATGTTTTACAATACAGAAGAATGTAATGAAGTAAAGTTATTTTGAATTAAAAGTTATATTCAAATATGTACTTTCAGCCATTTAGCATTAAAATTCAGGGTTGGTGATTAATTAATTTATAACTACAAATAATGTAAAACGTAAATAATCACCTAACCTGAATTTTCATGCTATTTGACTGTAATTGCATATTTTAATATAACTTTTAATTTAAAATAACTTTACTTTATCATGTTCTTCAGTATTGTAAAAAATAAAGGTACTTTACTCTTGAGTAAAATTCATACAGCTTAAATAAATTAATTTCTGATAATTGCATTTTAAGTTTTGGACCATGCAGAACTTTTTATGAAGAATACATTTTTTTCACAAAACCAATAACAAAAAAGTTTTCCATATGATTCCAACTTAAGTAGACACACTGTATAACTAATACCTACATTTTAAGACGACAAATTTACATACCTTCATTTATATAACATTTATAATACTAATGTTATATAAAAAAGTAATGTATACGTGCTGTAATAATGAAGCATATTAAATGTTACAATGGTAATATAAATGTTACATGTCTTCCGATATATTACATTGTTCCTTACATGTACTTACCACATTACATCACATAAAAAATACTACCTAGACAATATGTCGACAGTCTTTAATCATATCTAACGGGAAAAACGTTTAGGCAGTTTTTTGCTTCGCGGTTTCTTTTTCTAGGAAATTTTCAATTTACACTTACTGGATATTACTTATTTGATAATCTCTTTTTTTGACTTTTTGGGACGTGTTTTTTTAATACACGGTTTCGTTAAGCAATTTATTTAATTTATACACTTTTGATGTTTAACATTTATTATCACCATTGTTAAAAAAGCAGTTTTTTTTTCATTTAGTTTGCGACTTATTTATTATAAATAAAAAAATATCTTACCAACGAAACTATTATCGTCCGTTTCATTCGAGTCCTCAAGCAACGGCAATTTCTCGAAAACCTCTGAACGGCTGGTCGATTCGATTCCGTGGAATAGATCCAGCCTGGAATCGAGGGAAAACTGTTTTCCAGACATTAGTATGCCTTTGATCCTTCTTCTCATAGCTAGACACAAAAATAATTAATAATTCTGAATCATTTTATGAAATTTATTTCTTCCAATCAAATGTAATCGTACCAAATCGATTTTACTATTTAGTATTGCAGATTTGTATTTTTTTAAAAATGCCTACTGTATTTTGAGTTTCATAATTGACAAAAAGTAACCAAATATGCTAATATTTAGATTTCTGATAGGTGCACGATAACGTAAGGATATATATTTTAAATAGTAAATCCTGTACATTTTTACATTTTTTTGTATTCTATTAAATTTAAAATCAAACCATTTAAACTACTATATTTAGTTAAAAAAAGGTAAATTATAGAAAATAGTTCTTTAATTTAATTTAATTTAATTAGATGCTCAAAGTGTCCTTCATTGTTCTATTTGGCAGTATAAAAGTCTATTACAAAAAGCTGATGTTACATTGCTAATTTGGTATTTGATTGGTTGTATTCCCATTATTAGAGTTCGAAATATTAGCAAGTTACGTTATTTTTTTATTTCATGTAAACATTAGGCGGGCCCAGCGCTGAGTGCGAAACGGATCAATTAATTAAATAACTAATTTTTCAATATTAATTAATTCATTCAATCACTAATAATAATTTACTTAACAATTCAAATACAAAAATACTAACCGTCTCTTGCAATATATCCAACTCTTTCTTACGTATAAATGACAAACAGTTTAAATTTTAAATGCAGTTACAATTTTAACGTAGTCAAGCCTTCCGGACTAAATCACGCATGACCAAACGTTTAGAAACCACAGAGAGGAGAAAATGCATGAATAGCTGACTCGTTCTATTAGCCGCCAGATAATGCATTAAATTGCATTTCTAATCAGATCATCAGTTCATCTCGCCCAAGCCGATTCGCCAGCCCAGAGTGCACAATACGTCTTTACGTCTTTACGTCTTTACGTCTTTACGTCTTTACGTCTTTACGTCTTTACGTCTTTACGTCTTTACGTCTTTACGTCTTTACGTCTTTACGTCTTTACGTCTTCACGTCTTTACGTCTTTACGTCTTTACGTCTTTACGTCTTTACGTCTTTACGTCTTTACGTCTTTACGTCTTTACGTCTTTACGTCTTTACGTCTTTACGTCTTTACGTCTTTACGTCTTTACGTCTTTACGTCTTTACGTCTTTACGTCTTTACGTCTTTACGTCTTTACGTCTTTACGTCTTTACGTCTTTACGTCTTTACGTCTTTACGTCTTTACGTCTTTACGTCTTTACGTCTTTACGTCTTTACGTCTTTACGTCTTTACGTCTTTACGTCTTTACGTCTTTACGTCTTTACGTCTTTACGTCTTTACGTCTTTACGTCTTTACGTCTTTACGTCTTTACGTCTTTACGTCTTTACGTCTTTACGTCTTTACGTCTTTACGTCTTTACGTCTTTACGTCTTTACGTCTTTACGTCTTTACGTCTTTACGTCTTTACGTCTTTACGTCTTTACGTCTTTACGTCTTTACGTCTTTACGTCTTTACGTCTTTACGTCTTTACGTCTTTACGTCTTTACGTCTTTACGTCTTTACGTCTTTACGTCTTTACGTCTTTACGTCTTTACGTCTTTACGTCTTTACGTCTTTACGTCTTTACGTCTTTACGTCTTTACGTCTTTACGTCTTTACGTCTTTACGTCTTTACGTCTTTACGTCTTTACGTCTTTACGTCTTTACGTCTTTACGTCTTTACGTCTTTACGTCTTTACGTCTTTACGTCTTTACGTCTTTACGTCTTTACGTCTTTACGTCTTTACGTCTTTACGTCTTTACGTCTTTACGTCTTTACGTCTTTACGTCTTTACGTCTTTACGTCTTTACGTCTTTACGTCTTTACGTCTTTACGTCTTTACGTCTTTACGTCTTTACGTCTTTACGTCTTTACGTCTTTACGTCTTTACGTCTTTACGTCTTTACGTCTTTACGTCTTTACGTCTTTACGTCTTTACGTCTTTACGTCTTTACGTCTTTACGTCTTTACGTCTTTACGTCTTTACGTCTTTACGTCTTTACGTCTTTACGTCTTTACGTCTTTACGTCTTTACGTCTTTACGTCTTTACGTCTTTACGTCTTTACGTCTTTACGTCTTTACGTCTTTACGTCTTTACGTCTTTACGTCTTTACGTCTTTACGTCTTTACGTCTTTACGTCTTTACGTCTTTACGTCTTTACCACTTAATCCTATATCTATGGGTATGTGATTGTAACTGTAATTCTGGTACATATAAAAACTGATTTATATGCGCTTTTTGGGTAAATATTCTTTAACAAATGGTTTTTTAAAACTCACCGCAAAGTTGTCCGTAAGGCCAGAAAATAGGATTTTCAGATCAAATTTGGGGAAATTTTAACAGAAACAAGCGTTTTTGTTAAATAACTTGGCTATCTTTTAAACTAGAAAGAAGTGGTTCGCATCATTGAATTTCATTTTAAAATCTTTACAAACTAATTTTTTAAAAGTCACCGCTAAGTGGTCTGTAAGGCCAGGAAATAGGATATTCAGATCAATTTGGGGGAATTTTAACTTTTGTCTAATTAAAAAATCGTGAATCATTGCGCTTATTTTAATAGGAATTCTATAGAATTACCTGGACTATCCTTGGCGTCTTTTCTCAGTTTGATAGTTTTTAAAAAGTCGTCCAAAACGTCGCCTTGGTCATAAATGGCCGCGAAAGAACCATTCACAATTTTAGGAGATGTAGGAATATTTGACAGCAGCAAACTCGTTCCAAAATTTTCATTTTTATCCTTGATTTCTGCAAATAAAAATGAACATTTTTGAAAATGTGAGTAATAAAATACTTAAACTGAATCTAAATTGTTCAAAATATGGAAGGGTCTTAATTGAAATGTATTTTCGTGAAAATAATGATACAAAAATTACTTACTTAGCATTTTCTTCGGTTGTTTAGGTAACATGCAAAATTTATAAAAGAAAAAATGACAATAAAAAATATTTCAAGAAAATAAAATGTATAAAATAAATGAAACAAGTGTAAAAATCTATTTGATAACTGTAAAAGTATAATTATAGGATTAAAATAATTATAATACGCATACATGGGGTGTTATCATTAACATGGTGATACATTGGAAAATGTGAACATCGAGGTGGCTCCAAATAACCTATATTTAATAAGTCTCTGATTCTGTATAACCTAGATACAGGGTAATTTATCAATTTAGCTAGTTTCTTCAATTATGCATGATTTACAAATCACACTGTATATTTTTTATATTCACTACATATATTCTTTGACCAGAAGGGTGCCAAATAGCGTACAAAAAAATTGAAACCAGGCACTTACTTAAAAAATAACAAATTTGATAAACAGAACAATAGGTATAGTGAATTTCGCGACAGAAAGCTTCCAAAACTTAAACAGATATAATAAAAGATAGTGGTGTCTTATTAGAAAAAAAAATAGAGGAGCATATAAAAGTATCATTACGAAACCTAGAATTAATTTAAATATCATTTTGCAGGAACATAGAACCATGAAATCATTACTAAAAGAAGTTTGCTATAAATACTATTAAGGTATGAAAAACTCAATAAATTGCTTTTTGGTAACTTAAATTCAGACTATTCAGAGGACGACTATAGATATAATAATGCTATTAAAATTTTACCACAAAATCAAAAGCAAATAAGGTATGAACAAAATCTATAAAAAATATATTAATCATCACAATCAAACATTGAGTTTAGGACAAACTCAAGAAAAGTTATATTACAATTTAGAAATATTCTAATCGTCAATTTAGAATCAAATCAATAATATATATATATAGTATCTGGGCACAAAAGTATTAAAAGCCAACCCTGAAATACCCTTGAATTCTCGAAGCCATTACGCAATCCGCGTTACAGTCAAGTCACAAGTAATTTTATTTATTTATTACAATATCCAACAGGGTTGCCCCTAATTACAAGATAATGAAAGGAATATTACAAGAATTAGGAAACACATGGGTGCATCCTAAAGTGCTAGCACTCTAATACTCCATAGTGTATGAATGAGCGTACTCTAATAATTATACATGCCTACAGACAGCGCTACTTTAGGAACAGTACTGTTAATTAGAAACCAACGGTGAATGGTCAGAGTGGCGAGTTCTACATATGCTTCAGAAATATTTTAATTCAATGGTTTAATTAAAAAATTCTAGGCCAAGAGTGGGATTCAAACTGCGTACCCTTGGATTCGCAAGTCCATACTCTAACCACTGAGCCACCCCCCCTCAAAATAAAAAATTGAATTTTACAAATAACCAACAAATAATACTACCAAAATTTAAAACTAATTTATTAAAAATTCAGAAGAAATGCCAAAATTAACGTCGAAAATCAATATGAAATTAATAAATTAGTCGATGAACTTAAACCAAATATAGATGAAAAAGAGATCCTAAACAAAACTTTAATGTCAGTAACAGTTCCATTTTTGGCAATTATCTGTATTACAAATTACAATCACTGCATATCTTGTACAAAACGATTTAGAAAATTAAAAACGAAACCAGATTTATCAAATTACAGTCCCAAAAATATCTCCTGTACCAACGACGGAAGAGTTACATGTGCCCATTTACCCATGTAAATAATACATGTATTTATGCCGAGTTGTGGAAGGAACAATGCGTAAGAAATCATCGCGATCAACAGTAGATAGATAAATATCTAATTCTATAATTATTGCCGTGGAAGCCATTTTCGACCAATCTTTACATCCTCTAGTGCCTTAAGTCCCTCTCGGTCTTATTTGGTCACTTACAGCCTCCACTTTTCTCTACTGATACTATTAGTCGAAGTTCTATATTGTTCTGGAATGACGAAAAGTGTCTAGAGACATCGATTTTGGTGGATACACCAGTCTATAAAATGGCGGATCCCTAGATATATTTTTAAAACGGGGCTGCCAGTTCTTCCGAAAAATGCCTAGAACACTCTAGAATGGCCACGTTAAATAAGACTGTTTAGCATTTGAGCAGAGTTAAACTTGAGAGATTGTTTAAATCACATATTGTCCATATAAATTAGTATATTTGAGTATAAATAAATTAAGTTAATAAATAAATTAGTGTCTTAGAGTAAATATTAGTATATTAAAGTATAAGTGGATATAACGGTCTTTAAAACACGCGCGATTTTTCGACCACGACGGCGCAGCCGGAGTGCTCGAAATAGAGCAAGTGTTTTAAAGACCAGTTATCCAGGAATACTTTACGCTATTTTTTTATTGGTATACTTTGAAATCCTAAATATTGGTATTATTTCTACAAAAAAATGGAAATAAGAACTAATAACTGAAAATGGTTGAATTTGTGATGTAACATCAGTATAACTCGTTGTCATGAAAATGAGACAAACAAAAATTTATTTTTAATCTTTCACGTAAGATTACTTGGCGCAACAGTTGTTATTGTTTAAAATGAGTTCAAATATTGAGTATTTAAATAATAAAGCAAAATCGCGCTTAATACCACAAAAATCCGAATCGGTTTATAAAAAAGAATACGATAAATTCAACACGTGGATGGAAGAGCAAATGGTTACACATATAGATGAACGAGTTGTTCTCGCTTATCTCCAGAAAATGTCGGAACAGTATAAAATATCAACTATCAAAATTACAAAGTATGTTGAGGATAAACAAAGGGGTCGATATAAAATGGTTCGTCAAAGTGCATGCATTCATGAAGGCAATTAGCAAAAATGAGGTAGTCAAGAAGGCATATGTATTCGAGGAAGACGATTTGCGCAAGTTTTTTACAGATGCACCGGACATTACGTATTTATTTTTGAAGGTGTTGAATACATTTTTTGAAAAATTTCTCAGAAATATTTTATTTGACATTACAAGGCACTCCTGTCAGATCAATATTTAAAAAGTTGGCATTTAGACATCACGTTTCTCGGGTTGTTGATGTTGCCATGGTAACTTTAAAACGCGCTTTTTTTAAAGTTTGTTTTAAACACGCTGAGGCGTACTTTAAATAAGTAAAATAGGGTACCAATAAAAAAAATAATGAACAAATAAAAGTTAAATTATATTACTTTTTTGTTTAACATTTATGCAGTAAAGTAACATAAAGCAACAGTCCAAACTATATGTAATAAAGTAATATAAAGCAACTGTTATATTAAAATAAAAAAAAAATTTTAAATCTTTTCTGTGTTTGAAATTCTATCTAGTGCATAACATGATTCAACCGTTTGGTACCGAATAGGTTAACTTTAATAGTGTGATTCGTAAGTCATAAATAAATAAGCAAAATTGATAAATATTGGTTATAAAGATTCAAATAAAGGATCAACTCATGCGATTATCTATAATCCTAATTCCAACAGTTGTGATCATGAGATTACATCTCCAAAACCATCAATCAATAATTCAAAATTATTTTGTAACCTACTTACCCTATGTTTTACTATTCTATAACAATCTTTATTTGAGGGTGACTCATCTGAGAAACACACCTTATTGCCGGCCGACTACAATGCAATTCGCAGATAAGTCACTATCAAATAAAAATTGTTATACTATAGTATATAATTATGGTAAATGTAATTAACTTGGAAAAAATATTGGCCCTATTAAATTATTGACAAACTTTGCCAAAAACGTGGATATACTTATTAATATTTCCATTACCTGCAAGAGGTACTTTAGCTCTTGCAGCATTTACGACGTTGTCTTTGAGCAATGCATCTGTCACTGTCACTATCTCTTTCCAATCTGTCACGATATCATCTACATTAGTTCGGGGCGAGGTTATAGTAAATCTGTAAAAATTAGAACGTTTTAATTCATTTATGATAATTTCTATAAGTAGTTCCAATAACATTCAGTAAGAAATAAAAAGTGTTTTACGTAAATTTAGTTGTGAAATTCTAAGAGAGAGGGAGACAGAGAAAAAATAAGAAATATAGAGATACGGGGGGCTATTTTCTTTACGTTGCGCCTAGTAAAGTAAAACAATTTATTTACAAAAAAATATTTATTTTTAATTTTTTTTACAGTATTCTTCTCCACAGTCAATGCATTTTTGCATTCGCCTAAACCATTCCCAAAAATATTTCCTCCATTCTTCTGGCAGTAGTGTGTTTATTTAATTTTTAAAGACATCAACCGCTTCTTCGGCCGATGTAAAACTTTAGTCCCGTAATTTATTCTTTACCCTCGGAAATAAGAAGTCATTTGGTGCTAGGCTTTGACTATACGGCGAATAACCCATTACATGGGCGATGTTCAAAGATTTATCAAAGGGAGGCGGGCAAATAGACAGGGTCAAAATGCCGCTGGCTATAGTCGAAAGCCATATCTCTGTGAAGCTGGCCCCCCGAAAATTCAAAAATTTTAGTTTTAGAAGCTGTTTGCATTTGACCACATATTGACCATGTTTGACCACCCACCAACTTTTTTTTGACCATCCTCAGAAAACTAAATAACTAAAAACTAATAAAGGTCGAGTGACTGCTGGCCCCCCGAAATTAATATTTTTTCAAACTCACTGCACCATAAGATTAACCAATGTTTGACCAAGTTTGACCACCTATTATATTTTCTTTTAACACCCCTTAAAATAATTTAAAGTGGTAAATTATAGAAAAACAAGAGTTTTGGGACATATTTCAACTTTGAAAAAATGATTAATCGTCAGAAATGCAGAATAAGATCCAAAAACGTTTAAAATTATATATCGTGGGCTTACAAGCAAAAGGCACTAAGTCAAAAATTTGTCAAAGTGGGTTTATATTTTTGTATATCATGTAAAAACAGTGCATTGTATTGCGAAAGCATGTACATTTTCTTTAAAGCAATTGATAATCACTAAATAATTTATAAAAAAATTAGAACTTCATTGAAACCTTAAATTGCTCATAACTCATAAACCTATTTTTTGACTTACTTAATGCCTTTTGCTTGGTGCCCACAATATCGCTGTTTGACCACCCCTTTAAATATCTCAAAAGACCCCAGAGGGGTTAAAAATTCAAAGAAAATATTTCCCAATTTAATTTCTAGTTCAACAAAATGGTCAATCAACACAATAAAGATCCATAATTATTTAAAATTATGTATTGACGTTTGATTAGATCCTAAAATAATTAAAATGTTTCTAATTAGTGTGAAAATTCGAAAAATGCAATTTGGACTTGGAAAAATTGTCAAACGACATAAGTGAATAATAAAGATCCATACCGGTTTAGAATCTTGTTTTGATGTTTGACCATCCCTTAAAATAATTTTCCTGTATCCAAGTGGTGTAAAAATTCAAAAAATAAAATTTGGAAATCGTATTTCTTCTTAGACAAAATGGTCAAACGACACGAGTGCACAATAAAGATCCAAAACGATTACGAATTATGTTTTGACGTTTGACCACCACCTATAGTATATTACATTACGAGTGTGGAAAGTGACATTTTTCACACGAGTGGGAAATATTTTCGCACGAGGCACAAGCCGAGTGCGACTATCACACGATTGTGGAAAATCACTTTTCACACAAGTGATGTACAATATTTTTCCTACGACCATGAACTAATTTCATGAAAAAATGTAAAACCAGGTTATTATTATAATAATTAAAATGTATTTAAAAAATAAACAACAATAATCGTATTTATTCAATTTTTATATTTTCTAAACAAAAATAAACTAAAAAAAAAAGTTTGACTCCGCAAGGATTTGGACGCGGTCGCTCGCCAGTTCTCAAATGACAAAGTTGATAAAGTTTGATACTCATACCATCTGAGCTAATAGGTCTTACGACTATTGAATGATCTAATCGATTATGTATTTAATCAGAATAAAAAGCAAACATAACTTAGTAATTTTAAAAATAATTGTTAAAGATAAATTTTTAGGATCTAATTTACAACAGTTTCAATAATTTAACAATCATATCGATTTTAGTATTAATATGGACATTACATAGATCAAAATAGAAATGATGCGTTTGACATTTTGTGACAGCGATGCGGAAAGTAGCATATTCGTACACAGGTGGAAAGTAAATTCTTATTCATACGCGTGTGATATAGGGCACTTTTCATAGGACTATATAGTGTGATATGTGTCACTTTCCTAAGTGGTCGTAGGAAAAAATAATTTTAATTTGCCCAAGTAGTGTGCAAGTTCGGAAAATACAATTTGGAAATCGAATTTCGGCTTGCATAAAATGGTCAAACGACATAAAAGCACAATAAAGATCTATAATGGTTTAAAATTATGTTTTAACGTTTGAAGACTCCGTAAAATAATTTTAATGTTCCTAAGTAGTGTGAAAATTAGAAAAATACAAGTTGGAAATTGAATTTTGACTTAGAGAAAATGGCCAAACGACTTAAGTGCCCAATAAAGATCCGTAACGGTTTAGAGTTAGGTTTTGACGTTACCCACCCCCTAAAACAATTATAATTTGCCCAAATAGTCCGAAACTTCGAAAAATACAATTTGGAAATCGAAGTTTGACTTGGAAAAAATGGCCAAATGACATAAGTGCACAATAAAGACCAATTCCATAATTAAGTTTCGACGTTTGACCATCCCCTAAAATAATTTTAATGTTTCTAAGTAGTGTGAAAATTCGAAAAATACAATTTGCAACTGAAATTTTGACTTGTAAAAATTGTCAAACGACATAAAATTATTTTAGGGTATGGTCAAACGTCAAAACATAATTTTAAACCATTATGGATCCTTATTGTGCATTTATATCGTTTGACGATTTTTTCTAAGTCAAAATTTGATTTCCTACTTTCATGTTTGATTTTTCACAATACTTGAGAACATTAGAATTATTTTAGAAGGTGGTCAAATGTCAAAACATAACTTATTATTGATCTCTATTGTTCACGTATATGTTGATTGACCATTTTTTTTACAATTTAAGTTTCGATATGGAATTTTATTTTTAGAATTTGCACATTACTTGGGCACACTAAAATTAGTTTAGGGGGTGGTAAAACGTCATGGACATTAATTTATTGTGCACTTATATCGTTTGACTATTTTTTCCAAGTCGAAATTTGATTTCCAACTTGTATTTTTAGAATTTTTACAATACTGGGGCACATTAAAATTATTTTAGGGGGTTGTCAAACATCAAAACATAATTATTAACCGCTATGGATTATTGTGCGCTTATGTCGTTTTACCATTTTTTTCAAGTCAAAATTCGATTATCAAATTTTATTTTTCCAATTTTCACACTACTGGCACATTAAATTATTTTAGGGGTTGGTCAAATGTCAAAACATAATTCTAAACTAGTATAGACCTTTATTGTGCACTTATACCGTTTGACCATTTTATCCAAATCAAGATTCCATTTCCAAATTGTATTTTTCGAATTTTCACATTAGGTACTTGTGTAACAACCACCGTCACTTAGAAAGTAACTGCTGTCACTAAATAACAATGTAGTGGCCAAAAGGACTCAAGTCATCAACGGAGGGTACAGTGTTGAGTGTAAAGGCAGCGACTGTCACCAGTCACAGTCTGGGGAAAAGGTCCTTAGAGCTTATCCACTCACACCGTGACAAAAAAAAGGAAAAAAGAAATAATAAAATAATAGGTTTAAAATAAAAGATTTCCTCCGTGATGAATAGTGCGAGCGGGTTAAAGAATGGATTTGGCAAACTGATAAAAGGCACCTATAGTCTTTACTTGGGGATAGGTTCGCCGGGACTCAACAACTCGTAACACACATAAGATAAAAACAGGTGAATGTTTAACAACTCAATATATTTAACTCAATATATTTAAACATGTAACAATTTTAAATATGAAACAATCAAATAATATCCTATCTTTAGAGGTACAAGATTCACCCTGAGGTTCTCACCTGATTCGGTAAATGAACCGACGATAATAAAGTACCAATAACTACTATAAGAATAAAGGGCAAAACGTGTCAGAAATCTCGTTGGATCTTGTAGCTACCAAAGTTAGAAAAATAAACTATATCACTTTCTATAAAGTTTACGAAGAGAGGTAACTAAATAATTTAGCAAAATGAAAGGAGAACTGTCACAATTTTAATATAGTGAAAGAGGAAGGCTTGCCTTGCTCGAAACGTAGTTTAGATTTCACTAAGTTTAAAATCGATTGGCTGGTATTTATTATTTAATCACAACTTTAAAAATTACTTTAAAATTTCAGAGATACGCTTTATCGGCGTCGGTGAGTAGTCGGACAGCGTAACGCCGGTCCCACTCAGAACTGTCTCTTCCTCTTGTTCCCAAATCATTTAAATATTAGTTGAGACGTGATTTCTTTAAAATTTTTGATCAACTCATATATTTAATTTATTTTGATATTATAATAACTGTTATTAATATTTCTAAGGTCAAATGAAGGAAAGTACTTGAAAATTTATATAAAATTTTTGTGTAAAATCTTTCGATTAATTAAAATAATTGCCAAATTATTATTTTTGCGGCTAATCAAACGTTAAAACATAATTTTAAACCAATATGGATCCTTATTGTGCATTTATGTCGTTTAATCAGTTTTTCTCATCCTAAATTCGATATCCAAATTGTGTGTGTGTGTGTGTGTGTGTGTGTGTGTGTGTGTGTGTGTGTGTGTGTGTGTGTGTGTGTGTGTGTGTGTGTGTGTGTGTGTGTGTGTGTGTGTGTGTGTGTGTGTGTGTGTGTGTGTGTGTGTGTGTGTGTGTGTGTGTGTGTGTGTGTGTGTGTGTGTGTGTGTGTGTGTGTGTGTGTGTGTGTGTGTGTGTGTGTGTGTGTGTGTGTGTGTGTGTGTGTGTGTGTGTGTGTGTGTGTGTGTGTGTGTGTGTGTGTGTGTGTGTGTGTGTGTGTGTGTGTGTGTGTGTGTGTGTGTGTGTGTGTGTGTGTGTGTGTGTGTGTGTGTGTGTGTGTGTGTGTGTGTGTGTGTGTGTGTGTGTGTGTGTGTGTGTGTGTGTGTGTGTGTGTGTGTGTGTGTGTGTGTGTGTGTGTGTGTGTGTGTGTGTGTGTGTGTGTGTGTGTGTGTGTGTGTGTGTGTGTGTGTGTGTGTGTGTGTGTGTGTGTGTGTGTGTGTGTGTGTGTGTGTGTGTGTGTGTGTGTGTGTGTGTGTGTGTGTGTGTGTGTGTGTGTGTGTGTGTGTGTGTGTGTGTGTGTGTGTGTGTGTGTGTGTGTGTGTGTGTGTGTGTGTGTGTGTGTGTGTGTGTGTGTGTGTGTGTGTGTGTGTGTGTGTGTGTGTGTGTGTGTGTGTGTGTGTGTGTGTGTGTGTGTGTGTGTGTGTGTGTGTGTGTGTGTGTGTGTGTGTGTGTGAGTCCATTCGCCAGCTTGTATTTTTAGAATTTTTACACTACATGGGCAAATTAAAATTATTTTATTGGTTGGTCAAGCTTCAAAACATAGTTCTTAACCGTGTGGATCTTTATTACGCACTCATGTTGTTTGACCATTTTTTCCAAGTCAAAATTCCATTTCCAAATTTTCACACTACTTGGGCATATTTAAATTATTTTTAGGGGTGGTCAAACGTCAAAACATAATTATAAATCGTTATGGATTTTCATTGTACACTTAAGTTGTTTGACCAATTTTTGCAAGTTAGAATTCAATTTCCCACTTTGTTTTTCAAATTTTCACACTACTTGGGCACATTAGAACTATTTTAGGAGGTAGTCAAACGTCAAAACATAATTTAAAACCATTATGGATCTGTATTTTGCATTTATGTCATTTGCCCATTTTTTTCTAAGTCGAATTTTTAGAATTTTCACACTCAACCTTTATTTTTTTTTTAAATATTTAGGTTTCTGGGGGTGGTCAAAAACAGTTGGTAAGTGGCCAAATATTGTCAATAGGTAGTCAAACGCATGTCACTTAAAAAACATAAATCATAGAGCTGAAAAGCCATTGTGATAAATCCAAAATCACAAATCTAAGGGATCGCATGACCCATTATTTCTTTGTTTTGGACATGATCAATTATTCGAGCAGCAGTGCGAGCCCGATTATCTGGATGCAATACTATCCTTTCCCTAGGACATTTTCTCTAAACTTTTGGAGAACATGAGGCAAACAAACTGTAGTGTACCAGTCTAAATTAACAGTACGTCTATAATTTATTTTTTTTTATGAACAACTTTTGTTGGAGCCGACTTATTCTCAAAGACCCAAACTGGCGATTGTTGCTTTTTTTCGGGATCACAGCAGTATATTTATATTTCAGCACCTGATCCATGGTCATAGCGATCTAGTGTTGATCTGCGCTTTCTCACACGGTCAAGTTATGGGGAATCCACCGAGAACAAAGCTAACGGACCATCAAATGTTTGGGTGAAATAGTGTTAATTGCTGTCACACCAATCTTTTAAGTTGCTTGAATGTTTCTGACAGTAATCTGCCAGTCCTCTATCATATTCTGAATAAGATTTTGATTTTTTCCGTAACTGCCGCTTTTGGCTTACAAGCTCGTAAACTGTAATTTAAGGAAAGTCGACCACTTCGAAATTCATTGTAACACTTCTTTACAGTAGCAAAGGAACACGACTTGTCTCCAAGCACACCATTTATTTCCTCAAAACATGTTATACGGTTTAAATCACGCTTGAAATTGTAAAAAATTCACAGCCCGATAATACTCCTTGTTCATTTACATCACTTATTGGCGAAAGGATTACTTTAAAGCGATGCAACTTATAATTAGGTATATTTGTCAACAACTGTCACTAACCAAACTAGTAAACAACTAGATTGAAATGTCAAACAAAATTTGTTGCAAAATATTATCGCCTATTAGATAGCCTCAGCGGAAAGAGAAAAAAGAATCACTATCCGATCCATTTTTAAGAACTGAATTAGTTTAGAATTAAACATTTAATAAAACAATACATTATAAATTTCTTTCTGATTGTTGAGCTAATCAATATAATATTGTCTATTTACCTAATAACGTATTTTCCTTTGAGACTCGCCGGAACGCAATGTATTTTTCCTCTGGAATTTAGTCTTTTCCACAAAGTTTCTGTGATGACATTGTCTCCCAACAACCGAAAAACGACCAGGCCCAAATATCTTGTACAAGGGATTTCGAAACGATTGTCCCTTCTGATAAGAGATTCAAATTTTTCCGCTAATTTTACACCCTTAAAAATAAATAGGTTGATTACGTCATTTCTGAAACAGGCAACAACTCCTTTAAATTATACATTCAAGAGAAATTACTTTATTTTTATGTAAGGAAAGACATTTTCATTATACCTCTCTGATAACACTATCTTTGACATGCCTATTTAGCGCACCGAAAATGGGCTTTTTCCGGTGCGCTAAATGACATATTGATTTTTGCCTAGCAACAGTATACAATGCTTTTATTATTAGAGCAGTTGTCAGATTTTTCATTGTTTTTAAACATTAACGCTGTTATTTAGTTTCCATAGCAACAATTAACAACGCTTATATTATTATGACGTCACAGGTTGAATAAAGTCACAGCACTGGATGCCAACAAAAGAATTATACTGTCAACTGTCAATAATGTCCATAAGAATAATACAGCGGTCATTGAAATTATTAAAGCATAATTTTGAAAATGAAATCAATTTAAATATTTAACATATAAGAGCATATGGACGGCAAGGTAATAACGTTTATATGTTTCTTAATCGATTTCAAAAATTTTTTTTCAGGAAAATATTTATTTGTCTATGATTTAAAGAATTTTAAACCAGCCTACACCCCGGTTTTTGAAGGAGATATAATTTAATTAATTGACACATTCAAAGCATATAAACAGTAAGTTGATGACCTTTACATGTAATTCTATCGATTTAGATTTTTTAGGAAAAATTCTATTTCAGCGATTTGAAAAACTAAGACCTTATTCCTGATTTTGAGAGTGAAAATAATTTTTTCGCCTACCATATGTGAAAATGAATCATATTAACCCTAAAAATATGACCGAAAGCAACGGATATCGTCTCATGGGCTGCTAAACTCATAACAGCCCGATTTTGTAGTTTTTCACTAGATATCTAGATGCCTTTGACTGTCACTTGCGTACTTTGACGTTTCACAAAAATTTTGATTAAACGTCAGTGTAAGTCTATTAGTGAACATGAACAGTCATTCAGACAGTGACGAAAAATTTAAAAATATTCCACCAAACTTGCAAGAGGAAGCCAACAATGTTTCTCTAAATTTACTACCTACTAAGTCAAGAGAACGGTACGAAAAGTACTATGAATTATTTAACAACTGGGAAAAGAGTAAAAAACAAAATTAAAGATTTTCGTTATATTTTCGTTTTCTTTGTTTTTTTTTTTGGAAAAACGAAAAACAATTGTGTGTCACACATGCAGAAAACGCTTTAGCAGCCCTTAGCTATCAGCTGCCCTCGCTTCACTTCGCTCGCTCATGCAGCTAATAGCCGTGGGCTGCTAAAGCTCATTTTCTGCCCTTGTGACACAATATATTATAATATTTACAAGAGGAATCAATGCCTGGGTCCGTCCAGAAAAGAAGCAGGCGAGACACATATCGAGGGCCACAAGGCAGGACCTCCTAAGCCGCAATATCGACATTTTTCAGTTGAAAAAAATATTTTACGTATAGAACAATCCATTTTACTCTATAATAGAACTAATATTTACCCATGTTCTGTTCAAAAATTGTAATTCTTTCCCTATACAGTACTAGATGGAGCAAAATGTTTTAAACGAGATTATCATAAAATATAATTTTCAGTGGAAATGTTAGTTACGAAATCCTGCATTGCTGCCCTCGATATAAGTTCTTAAAGTTATTATATGTTACTAGGAAGTTGAATGTGAACTTTATTGTTGTATCTAAAAACTGTATTAAAAATGACAGTGGAGAGGTCAGAGGAAAGAACGATGCCTCTGCATTTTTCTTATACACATATCTATAAAAATTATATATTAAATATTCGAAATTTTACTCTGTTCTGCAAGATAAATAAATAAAAAAAAATTAAAGTTGTTTTATTATATAATAATATAAATTATCAAATATTTAGGTAGTAATAAATAATAATTTAGTATTTATTAAATTGTAACTATTTGACAGTGCTTTTTCAGTAATAAAAAAAAATATCGAAAACAGCCGATATGAATTTGTCAATATAAAATGTATGTAAAATGTTTAAATTAGGGTCCCATTCAGCCTCTACGGATTATGGCCAAACAAAAAAAACAGTTTAAATCGCAACCGATGATCTTGGATCAAAAGCATTTTTAGCTTCTTCAAGGCTTTCTTAGTTGCGTAAATATTGTAATGGGCATAATACAATAAGGTAGCCATGTTGTGGCAAATCACTTGGCCTCTGAAACATTGTAATCCAGGGTAGTTAGGAAAAATAGCGGAAATTTTTAGGGACAGCAGATATCGAGATGCGTTTTTCTGCATTGTATTCAGAAAGGTCCCAGGAAAAAAGGTCTATATCGTCTGGTTTAGCCATTTTTTGAAAAATTCCTTCTGGGCCGGAAAATGCATTTTCCAATTGCATCATTACTTGCACCATTATAGAAACGACTGGAAACTCGGAAAAATCGCTCGGAAATCATCACTCTGGGGGATTTCGGGGCTGCCGAACTCGATTCTGGCATTAGAATTACCCGGGGGAGCACAGGGGTGGCTCTGTGGGGGTGCGGGGGGGGGCGAATAGGGGGAGAAATGGCAGCGTGCATGAAAATCGCTTCAAACTCGTTACTCGGGGGGTTTTCGGGGATGCCGAATTCAATTCTGGCATTAGAATTACCCGAGGCGCACGGGGACGGCTCTGCGGGGGTATCCGGGGATCATTCTAGGGAGAAATTGCATAGTCCATGGTAAGCGCTCCAAACTCGTTACTTAAAGGGTTTTCGGGGATGCGGAATTAAATTCTAGCATTATATTTTAACGGGGGTGGCTCTGTGGGGTTTTCTGGGGGTGATTGGGGGAAAATGGCAGCGTCCATGAAAATTACTCCAAAATCGTTACTCTAAGGGTTTTCAGGGATGCCGAATTCAATTCTGACATAAGACTTGCCCGGGGGCGCTCGGGGGTGGCTCTGTGGGAAATGGTAAAGGAGAAAGTGAAAAATCTCAAATTATGAAAATAAAAGTTTATTCAAATAACAAATAGGAGGTTTTATTAATGTTGAATTATTCATTATAAACTTAAATTTTAAACTTAAATACTAAACATCTTGTTCAAACTCTTCTTTTTTTCTTCTCTTTCTTCATCTTCCTCCCCTTCTTCATCTTCTTTCTCGTCACTATTCTCGGCCCCATTGGAATTGCCTCTTTGAGCAATTGCCATCGCAATGCTTGCATGCAAGTGAGCACTCCAACCCACTTCGGTGGCACCCGCACCTTGTGCCTCAGTCGGTTTTACAAGAAATTTAAACAAGAAAATTAAAATTTCCCCGCGACCGGCTTTCTGGGTCATGGTGACAGAACTGAGCTCTCCATCCACCAATTCCCACCTCCATTTCAACGGAACTAAGGTCTTGTCTTGACCTTGTGAACCATACCAAGCCTGTACTTGGAAATATAAACGCTTGATATACTCAGTTAACGCATTGGCAGTCGGGATTATGCGTGCAAGATCGACTTTTTTAGAATTGGTGGCTTCAGCATACATTTTTGCTCGATACCTTTGGACGAGCTCAATCGCAGGTTTATCGCTCGTGAGCACATCATTGGGCGCCCCGCAAAGAGCCAAAGCTAGACGAAGCCCATGATCTATTAAATTATCCATGGATACATGTGTTTGCTTAAATATTTCTGCAAACCCATGTAAATCATCGAATTTATCAAACAAATCACAGAATTGTATTTTCCCTCGATAGAAAAATGCTGAGGTTGTGGTTGTGTCGCATCCCGTGAAAGCATGTAGAAATAATATATGAAACCTGATGCACTCGCTTGTGGATGTTAAGCTCTCGGCAAAATACACATCAGGTACCCCTGGGTAATTATAATGCCAGAATTGAATTCGGCATCACCGAAAACCCATGAGTAACGATTTTGAAGCGATTTTCATGGACGCTGGCATCCCCCCTCCCCCCAATCACCCCCAGATAACCCCACAGAGGGGCCGCAGAGCGTTCCCGGAGAAGTCTAATGACAGAATTGTATTCGGCATCTCTCAAACTCCCCGAGTAGCGAGTTTGGAGCGCTTCTCATGATCTATGCAATTTCCCCCCAGAATGAACCCCCGGATACCCCGCAGAGCTGCCTCCGAACGCCTCAGAGTAATTCCAATGCCAGAATTGAGTTCGGCATCCCGAAAATCCTCCGAGTAACGAATTTGGAGCGATTTTCATGTACGCTGTCATTTCTCCCAAATTCACCCTCAGCGCACACCCGCAGAGCCACCTCCGTGCACTCCCGGGTAATTATAATGCCAGAATCCAGTTGGGCAGCCCCGAAAACCCCCCGAGTAACGATTTCCGAGCGATTTTTCCGAGTTTCCAGTCGTTCCTATAATGGTGCAAGTAATTATACAATTGGAAAATGCATTTTCCGGCCCAGAAGGCATTTTTAAAAAAATGGCTTAACCAGACGATATAGACTTTTTTCCTGGGACCTTCCTGAATACAATGCAGAAAACCGCATCTCGATATCTGCTGTCCTTAAAAATTTCCGGTATTCCGGTCGATTTTGATCTAAATACCCTGGACTAGTACTACTACTTTAAAATTTATTTCAAAAGTTACCTTTTAAATAAGTTGGGTTAATATTTCTCAAATCACGAAAAAGTAATTATTTTCCTGTAAACTAGATTATGAAATTGAATGTTATCAACTTAGCAGTTATATGCTTTGAATGTGTCAATGCGCTAGTTCAGTGATGATGTAATGATGGTTCCACTGACAATTAAAGTGACAGTAGATTTTTTGAGTGCATTTTGTTCGTTTTGTTTACCTAAATTATATCGTTTTTTTCACTTTTATAAATATATTCCTAAAGTAAGTAAATAGCATGTATAAAATATACAATCGTTTAGTTACCAATACATACCTTTAAACTATTTTTTATGACCTGTAAACAATATTTTGAAATAAAATAAAAACAGTAAAAACGTATATGTCAAATTTATTGACGTTTTTGTTAAAAGTTTGGTTAGAATTAAATGTCAGTGGAACCAAAATGACATCACACTGAACTAGCGCATTAATTAAATTATATTTACTTCAAAAACCAGGGTTTGAGTAGGCTGGGTTAAAATTCTTCAAACCGAAGACAAATAAATATTTTCCTGACAAAAAAAAATTATGAAATCGATAGAGAAACATTATAGTATGATCTCAAGACTGGAATGAAACTTCCTACCGAGGTTTGTATACTATTTTATTTACAACCATCATATTTCGATCAAAGTTAATAAATCTCTGTTTCGTTCTGAACATACCTAAAATATTACATTTAACGACAAATTACCAAGCGCGCGGTTTTCTCAGAATAATCAAGCAAATATACTCTTACTGTGATTACGGGGTAAACAACTGTCACCAATATAAATAAATGTCAGATAAAGCCGTATATTAAATTCGCGAATAATAAATATCAATAAGTAGTTTGTTGTATTTTAGTTCATTGTTATTTTTTATTGTTTGCCATTAAATAGGTATTATAAAATTTGTCAAAAAAATGTGTTATTTTTTTTAAATATAAAAAATATTCATCTAGAATAGATGAAATGAGGGCGGGAAGTAGAGGTGTGTAATCTGACACTTCCCAACCTTCAATGACGTTAATAATGACAACATTACATACATTGTTGTAAATAAACGTTATTAACTTACCGTCCGTATGTTTTAATATGTTAAATAATTAAATTGTTTTCTTTTTCAAAATTATGCTTTTATAATTTCAATTACCAATTCAAAAGGAAATTGAATTACAGTTGACAGTATGGTTCCTTTCTCATCCAATGCTATGATCTTCCTCAACCTGTGACTTTTTTACTAAACACGCGCATTAGCGTTGTATGAAAGCTTCATATAACGATATTAGTTAGTGACCTGTTGTTTGTTACTCTGGTGACCAATAGTGGTTCTTTAGTCTAGCTACTGTTACAATAATATTATGTATTATACATTTGTAAGCAAGTTCTGTTCTCTGAAAGTTTGATATAATACCAAATGGTCGAAATTGTGATACTCTTTTAGAATACAATATTAACCCTTTTAAAAATAAAACAGAATATGAAAAGAACACAATAAAAAATAAAGTTAAAAACAAGGTTATTTAAGAAGCTTTTGAGCAAAACCGAATACCACTATAAACGATTTTTGGGAAAACACGATTTTCCAATTGCATAAAAAATACTGGTTTTTTTGTTTGTTTTGTTAGAATATACTATTGGAGACGTTATTAATAATACATCCTTTACAATTAAAATTTAAAAAAGTTATTTTTGTTGAAAATAAAACAAAGAAAACTGGATTTATTCGGTTTTGCTTAAAACCACTGGATTTATTTGGTTTTGTTTAAAACTATATTAACAAAAAAGGGATTTATTTATTTTGGTAGAAATTACTAGATTTATTTGGTTTTTGTAAATAGCAATAAAAACATTATTTTAAAACTAAAAGAATTTTTCTAAAAACCAAAAAATAAAATAAAGACAACTTTTAAGAGGGTAGTAAAGTTTTTAACCTTTTTTTGCATTTTTTTTATATTTGATTTTGTAAATGAAAAACCTTTCAAGAATATTGTGTAGAAATTTAAGATGAATCGGAGCAAAACTAACGAAGATACAGCGGTTTGAGTAACCGCGCCTCATACATGACTCAGCGCATCAGAAAATACCTGCCCGACCCTTGCGTGGTATTATTACCTGGCAGCAAGGGCGGCTCCAGGGGAGGGAGCTATGGGGGCCATGGCCCCCACCGAGATGAAAATTCTTACGATTTATGAGCCTTTTATTCAAAAAAATATGCAAAAAAGAGAATGGTTAAAGGCAATGGCCCCCACCGAAAATTCGTCTCGGAGCCGCCCTTGCCTGGCAACTGTTTCGCTCACTATATAATCCCTAACCTTACATCCTACCTTTATTTATAGAAATTTTAACACAAGTACAGATGTGTTTATATCTGTACTGTATAGAATTTAGTGTAGTCTGGCATGTTCTTTTGCTTTACTAACCTACTCGTACATGCAAGACATGGGAATCAGTAGTGGATCAAGCGCTCATGAATGAGGATTCGTCGTAGACAGGAGCAAAAAGATGCTTTAGACATCATTAATGATAGCAACATTATTTATGGATCTAGCATCAATGATTCAGTTTGAGATAAGCCGATAAAACTCGATTATGAACGTTTTATTCCAAATTTTTTAGTGTTCAAAACTTTAAAGCGTTTTTCCCACAACTAACGTTTGCAAAGTCGGTGCCCCTCGTAACTTCAAAACTACTGCACCTATTCTTTTGAAATTTTGAACACTATTTATGTGCATAATTTACCAAGTAACGCTGGACAGTTTTTTTTAAATTTAATAATATTTTTTTATTTTTTAATAACAAATGAGTTGTTTTTTTCGCAAGAATCGCGTTTTTTACTTCAAAGTGTTCCCAAAAAGTGAAAAATTTAAATTTCAAAAAACCCTTTTAGCGTTACCTGGGAAAAACGATTATCTAACGAGAGAACTTTGATTTTTTTATTTTTGATGATCCAGCACCGAATTAGGAGGGGCACCGTAATTCAACTTTTTTCCGAGATGCTTCCGAATAGTTATTGCCATTTCCGTATTTTTAATATTTATACATGAAAATTTGACACAATATTCTTTGAATGTTATACTTTAAAGTACCATTAGTTTAAATAAACAGATTTTAACTGTGTCGTCAAAAAAATTCACAAAAATGTGCCTTTTTGCACGAATTAACCTTATTCTCCCCTTAAATTAACATCTTTTAGGACGAAAATTACTATTATTCTTGCAAAAAAGTTTCCATTTACATAGTGATAAAAAATGTTTTTAATAAATTTATAATTTGTAAATTGTAATTTGAGAACCTAACCAAAATTTTATGTAAGAAATTTTTGATAAATATATTTATAAACAAATAATATTTTTTTTTTATTAATCCTTTAAAAATTTTAGCTAATGGTTACAGGATGTCCCAAGTTATCGTTTACACCCAATCTCTCGCTTATTTATAAAGATGAAAAATATATCAAAGCTTTTATTGGTATTCCAATATCCTTGTAATGACGTTTTAAAAACTTGATTTACTTTTACCACCTTTCTTTAGGTAATGATGGAATTTTTAGGTGATTTAATAGGGCCGATCAAAACGATTACCAAAGGAAACGAAACGTATATTACTCAGAGAAGATCTGACAGTGACATTATGTTTTTACTTCCGTCACTTTTTGTGAATCTGTAGATTTAAGTCTGCAGCAGTCACGAAGTGAGGAGGGCGATAGTCACTACAGAATTGAAAATTGAATTTTTGTAGGTACATTTTTTAACAATATAAATACTATACCTAAGTAGAACATTTTATTTAAAAATTGAGGAGATCCTCCATGTAGAAAATTGTTTAGGTATTACAGCAAAGTAAGCATTTATATTTGGAATGTATTTAAAATTTTGTACAATATCAAAAAGGCAAATTATTATTTATTTTTTTCAATGTCAATTTCTACAACAATTTCAATTTTGCAGATATACAATATTTTACACTTTACTGTTATCTTGTATATTATAAATATGATGTAGGTACTCGTAAAATAGTAATTTCCTAACTTTTTTGATAAAATATTTACACAACTAACAATTTATTTAGGATAAATTTAACAGTTCTACCATAGTTCTACTTTATGAAAAGTATAACATACTATTTACTTCCTCATCAAAAAAATATATCGTTCTCACACCGAGTTTACCGTGAAAGAAAGCTGTTTTTATGTTCAAATATTAATAAAAATGGGATTACGTGGTAGGATATATGATCAGGGCAACTTTTTCCTTGCCATAGGGACACTGCATATACACATATTTTTCTATTAATATTAATATTTCAAATTATTATTATTATTATTAAATAATATACAATATTTTATCAAATTAAAAAAAATTTGGATTTCTCATTTGATATACCTTAAGGAACACCATCCGGTGTATAATATAATATTATCCCTCATTCAACCGTTTTAATACAATATTGATTAATGTTAAGTCACTGTTCCAATAAGAGATTAAGAATACATTTAACTTACAAATAAAGTAAATTTAAATAATCGCTTACCCTCCTGATATGCTCCTGCAATCCTGCAATACCGTAATTTCTAATGACGAACCAAAGTTTTAAGGCTCTAAATCTTTTGCTTAAAGGTATTTGCCAGTGCTAAAAAGAAAATAATACTATAAAATACACATTCGTATTTATAAATAATTTTTGACACCAGTAAAAACGAACCTTTTTAATAAAAGGTTCGGTTTAAATCCTAATTTAATTATTTTTTAAATATCTTACCATATAATCTATTGCTAGACCTATCAAATAAATACATTATATTTAGTCCTATCCAAGAATAAAAATGTCAAATGCCTTTAGCAGATTAACAATCATATATCGCTCAACGCAAATGGTTGTTGAGGTTCAATTTTGGTATTTAACTTTTGATGTTTGCTATGTAATAAATTTCAAATTTACCTGAATACTCGTGTGTTAAATATAAAGGGTTGACATTGAAAGCTCCATGTAAAGCCCCGCTGTTCTTGACCCTGAAACAATTAAAAATATGTACCTATCCGAAAAATTGAACAGAAGAAGTTTGTATGGATGCATTGTAAACTTTTTTAGATCTGTTGTAGTCTATCACCCTAATCCGTTGGTAGCCTGGCGGCTTCGCAGCCTGCTGCTTATTGTACCACCATTTGAAGGTCTTACTACTTTCCCTTTTTCCAATTGGCTCCCTCAATCATTACACGTCGTCGACGGTTAAACGCTAGTCGACTATGTCCCATGGTGATACGGCCCACAGTGGAATCTCCCAGTGGTCACTCATCCACAACGTGGACGAGATATCACTGCTTAATTGTTGCGAGTAAGTAGATATCAGCCTTATTATTTAGTAATTTAAAACCATATTGTTTAAATGAGAAAAACCAGACTTGGTAGATTTTCACAAACACTTTAATTTATAAAAATTAAAAACTAACCTAACATAAAAATACTAAAGGTAGTGTCAATAAATATTCCAATTATTTTTTCTTTGCTTACGATTATTTCAATACTGTCGATAACAGCTTTCTGCTCTATTGTTAAAGAGATCATTGATGCAGTCAAATGTCCAATGTACGGATGCCACCTGTACGGGTTTCACCGGGAACCCGGACAGTCAGAGTTTTGAATAATTTATCCGGTCTCATGATGAAAATGTCCAGGAATATCTCGATAACTTTAGAAGCTCGACATAAGGACCTGGTTTATAAAATTACAAGCTGAGGACTTTTTTTAAACAAAGGTCCCGGTTTTTTGAGAAATGAAAAGGTGGAAACCCTAGTCCAGTTCGAAATATTTTATGATCTAAGAAATACTGCTTTAAATTAATTAAAAATAATTTTAAACAGCAAAATCCAATATGAATTAATAACAAATTACAATACCAGAGTCTAATTATTCGCAATTAAGTATGAGCCCTTTGATATGTATTATATGTAAATTATTTAAGCAAATATGAAAGATCATCATACAACATATACTTGTTCAAAAATATTCACTACCAACCTTTTGCTTAGGTATACTTGTAAGTAGGCATAGTCTGTTTCAGGTTTCTAAGTGGTATAATAAAAAAACTTACCACATGGCTGTACAATCGAAATGTACCATCATCCATTTGGATGGATTGAAGGCAATGGAGTTTGCGTTATCTATTCCCTTTAGCCAGGTCCTGTGCTCTGGACAAACGAAAGCTGATCCAGCGTAAGCTGCATCCACGTGACACCACAGCAGTTCTTTTTGTGTTACGTGCGTGATTTCTTCTAAGTTATCGAAAGCGCACGAGCCTGTGGTTCCCAAAGTAGCGCATACCTAAGGATATTTATTATTTCTTATCTTAGTTAAAAAGCCTTATTAATCATGGATTCTAATATAAGATGACTTCTAGCTAAGTATCAAATGTTATCAGCAGTGGCGGCTCGTGGGGGGTTCACAGTGACAGAATATAGGTATCAGTACAGATGTATGAAAAAACTTTCAGTGTTTTAGAAACTTTATAATGTACCTTTCTATAACATTGACAGTTTTATACCTATATCTGTATTAGGATCTATATTCTGCTACTGTGAACCCCCAAAATTTTGGTCACGAGCCGCTCCTGGTTCTCAGTCTACTTTTGAGAATCTTGGCGACAGATATAGGTACATCTTTTAAGTGCATAGTAGTAAACAAATGTTATTGAACATTATTAGTTATTTGATTAAGAGCGTTGTAAATTATTATTTATTATGTACGATATATGCAGAGAGGCCACACCAGCGCGTGACCAAAAAATTATGGTAAGCTGCGGCTACTACACCCATCCTTTATAATGAACATTTTCATATTTGTCACTACAGAGTTTGTTAACTACATTATAAAGAAAACGGGTGGACTGTAGTAACTGTGGTTAGTAAAAATGTGTGATTCTTGTTGAGGAATTGCCAGACTCTTATTTGATAATAATGAACTTAAATATGTTCTTCAGTTAACAATTTTATTAAAACTATAAACTTGCTTCAGCTTACATAACACCTTTTCATAGTGAAATGATATAAGTGCTTAACTTTATAATTTTACTATACTTATGTTTTGATTTCGATTTGAGTGTAAAAGAGTTAGCACTCGTACTTAAATTATTGGAAATTTTCCATAAGAAAGAACACCATATTTTAGGCGCTTAAATAAGTTGCAGGTGAGCAAAGTTGTAGAAAATATGTTTTTCCTGGAATTAAAAAAACTGTTAAATTGCATTTGCTGTTGCCATGGGTCAAAGCAGGCTTCCGATTTGTAAAAGATTTTTAAATTCGGTGATACAATGTACTGAATGAATAATACAATATATTGTTCTTCTTATGTTTATAATATATTATTTATACGGGGTGGATTATAAAGAGAGTAACTGAAGTATCTGTGAAAAAATGATTGTCATTTTTGAACAAGGTTCTAGATAATTTTCATCCAACTAGTCCCTAATGAAAAATACACAATTTCTCTAACGTTCAATGGTACATCCTCCAGCAAATTTATCGACTAATTTTGTAAGAACTACATAAGTTCACCCAGTTAACAGATTAAGGGGGGGTTGCTCTCTAACTTTAAGCCGAAAACACATAGCAACGAAAGCATCAAGCGGACTTCTCAACAAAGTCCGATCACCAAAACGACAAGTATATGATTATGGTATTCTCTAACTCTAATGCTAGACGATATTGCTATTCGTAAGTGATTTTTATTTGTGTCACAAGCTGTCATAATTCTAGATCGTAAATGTTGATTGGTCTGAATAACTAAGGTTAGGATTTGAATGTCATTTCGACATTAGTATAATTCAATAATCATTAAACATGGACACGGTAGTTTAAAAGCAACTGGATAGGGCTCAAAAAGCAAACTCTGTCAGAATATTGAGGCCAATTTCAAAATTCTAACGAATCAAAAACATAATAAACAGCATACATTTGCTGATATTTTAACATTCAAGTGATAATTTAGGTCCATATTTTATTTTTTGACTTATCTAGGTCTTAAATGTCAAAACTTGAAGTGCGAACAGCGAAATGCCTACTCATGTGTAATTCGTTTGAAAGCGCTTTACGTTTTTTCAAATACGAACAGCACAGCAAGTACAGAATACCAAAACGGTTGGGCTTTACACTTTTGTTGTTTGTCGCGCTTCTAGAGAGACGTGCTGAGTGCTTTCAAAAACGTTGGTTAGAGAATAAGCCCCCAGGTATTTCTATTGGTCCAATTAATCTAGCGCAAATAATTCCAGTCCACAGATTAATTGAAAATCGATGATCAAAATTAGTTTTTCAAACTATATGTGGATTTTTATTGTTCCATTAGTGGTGGTTATGAAAATTAAACACACCATTTCTGGTAAACGTACTCTCATCTGTCCATAATATAAATAAAGTTCCAATTATTTGAAAATCAACGACAAAATTCGAGTCTTGGTCAAATACTAATAGGATCATCTTCAAAATATTAGAGAGCATTTGCCGTATTTAGGGCATTTTTTGGTCTTCCTTGATCTCGAGATATATTTCAGGAAAACTATCAGTCTTATCAAGGTAAATAATAAAATGTAGAGTGTTTCTCAAACTTTTTTGGCGACGGAACCCTATTGAAAAGCGAAATATTTGACGGAACCCTAATTTTACTTTGTCCTCAAACCAGGTCGAACTTCCTCATAGTGTTTTTTTATTATGACCATTATTTTCGCGCGGAGCCCCCGCAGAGGCTTTGTGGAGCTCCTGGGCTCCGCGGAGCACACTTTGAGAAACACTGATATAGGAGGATATAACATTTTAGTACTTTTTTACACTATTCTCAGCTAAATGTGGTGTATCAGTTAAAAAAAGAAAGTTTTTGAATTAGTTGTACATTCAGAATGTCATTTAAAAGAGAAATCCAAAAATTGACATTTTTATCGGTACCGGTTTCAAAAATATTAGAAAATCATCTTCAGTGGGTTCTCTTCAAAGGCTGAGTTCGGATTGGCGTTCACTGTGCTCAGAGTGCACTCGGTATGCCTCAATTGTGGTCGTCTTGGCACTCGGAGCGTACTTTTTTGTGTTCGGCTTGCCACAGATCACGTACTCATAGAAAAATAAAAAGAGAAGGTTTGAATAAATGGCGGGATTTGTTTCCTTGTTGGTAGTTGAACCGTAAGCGCTTAGCGCGCTGCTATCACTAAATTCAAACCCGTTTACACCCATAAAAAAATATGTTTTCAAAAATAATGACAAAGAAATCAATAAGTTTACTGATTTACCCCTTTAAATTTCACTATGCTATAATGTGTGATCAAATACAGGGATAATCGTTAATAAATTTAAAGTTAAAGCTAAATTTAAATATTATTAGGTGGTGTAAATCTGGCTTTGAAAATAAATTAGGTTATGTTGCTATAAATAATAATAAATATGTCAGCCTGATATTATTTTCATTTTCAAATCAGGTGATATTTTTTTCAAATGTAGGTGAGTAAATTGTATTAATTAAGTGTAAGTTAGATTTAACTAATTTAACTATAGGCAGGTTCTTAAGAAAATCGTTAACTTCTGATTCATTTAAATTTTAATTGCAGAAGTACCTAAGTATTTTTCTCACAAAACTAACAAGAAAGTTTGTTTTTGCTGTTATTATTACTCTAGAGATAAATGGATCCACATTTTAAACATTTGCGGTCAAAAAAATGAAAGGAGTTGTGAGCGAAATGTGTGAAGCCAATTTACAAACAAATATTGTAGAACCCGAGATAGAACCTGATCTTAGTTTTACTCATAAAGACCATGATGAAAAAAGGCGAATGATTTGTGCTCAAAAAGTTATTGTTCAATTTTTGCGTGATATTCATTATTATATTTATCAAATAATACCCAAATATGTTCAAAAACTTATATGCTATTTAGGTCAACTTGTTAATTTTTGCATAGTTCGCCTATTAAGATCATAAATCAGATGTTTTCTATTATTATTATTGAAATTTTAATACCTTTTATTGCAAGAAAAATGTAAGAATTTAAAAAGGTTATGACTCGTATTTATTTTTAATTTTAAGATACACACTGCATCTTTATTTTTGTTTTGTTTTAGATATTCCCGGGTATGGAGATTTTTGGAATGTGCATAAATGTGTTTCTTAATTAGGGTGAGTTTCAAAGCCCACCTGTATTGAAGCTGGAGGCTTATTGTAACCGAAATAGGCATTACAACTATTCTAGATTGAAATAGATGGAAAAAGCCTTAAAGGGACAATCAGTATAAGAATATTAGAATTAGAATGATTTGTCCTTGGATTAATAAGGGAAATTTAAAACATTAAAACAATTGTGTTTATAAATTAACTACTTTGACTTTTTATAAAAACTATATCCGGTTTTTTTAATAATAAAAACATTGTCATGTGCTATGCTGGTTATCATATTATATTTTTATTTTTCAGTAATTTAGTGTGTGATATAGTGCTTGTTATGTTCAAAATATGCAGTTAGAAGATAATGAGACACATGTAATTACATGGTAATTCTAAATAAATTAAACTTTTTAAAAATGTGTTTTATTTTTCAAATAATTTTATTTTTCAGTTAAAACAAGTGACATTTTCCATTTTTCAACATTTACCTACAACAAAAATTCACTAAACTTATTGTTTGTTTAGTAGTTGTAAGTAAAAGTTGTCAAATAGGAAAATGTTACTTTAAATTGCTTCAAATATCTAAATTATCAAGCCCACCAATTTTTAAATCGCTTTAATTAGTAGTGTTCTACTTTATCGACTGAAACTGACAGGTGTAGTTCAACCGTAAGCGCTTAGCGCGCTACTGTCGAGGTCAAGCAAACTTGTTACCAACTATTTACATGAAATCCGACCCCCGTGCACGTACTCGGAGCGCGCTCACTCTTCCCAGAGTTGGCCGATGGAGATCAGCGGGTATTTGTAGGAATATGTAAAAAATGTCAAATGTCAATATTCTGATCGGCTATTAATCAGTTTAACACATATTATTTCTTATTTGTTTTTGTTATAACTATTTCCTGTTTGACTAAAATAAAAATTTTAGTCCGTACACACACACAAAAGTGTATTCAAGTTCAAACCATCACTAGTATCATTTGTCATTCCCCTTATGTCCGTCTTGAGATTGTAAAAAGAGTGAACTCTGTCTATGACGTCACGCACTCCGTGCGCGCTCTGTTTGATGCGCCGAGTTCCAAACCGAACTTTTATTGTTGCTCCCTTATGAGACATTTTTGAATATAACTTTATGTAAACTTTCTGCGTTATTTTCATTTGTATAATACGCTGTAAAAATAATTACCTCTAATTTTGGAACATCCTGTATTGTAGAAATATAATATAAATTTTTATTTTCTAAATTCCATTCATTTGCCTGCAAAATATGTTCAGTTTGCATGCTTTTCGCCTAGAGCATGAAAAACTCGTAATACTATTGATATGAATTGAGTTTAAATCTTATTATTTTCGAATATTTTCTGATAAGAAATTCAAAGGGAGTATAAAGGATTCATATTTCACTGTTTATATAAGATGCTAAAGTTTTCTTATAATTATGTATTGTATATTAGACCAAATTTAATTTAGGCAAGCGGCGAGTGTTATTGTATTTCAGACCTGATGATGTGTGGGATAGCCAAAAAATAAAACTAGTTGCATTTAATATTTGATAATAAAATAATGTTAAATGTTGAGTGAGATAGTCCTCTCTCACAAATTGCCATACGCCCGCACAGTCCAAAGTATAATATACTTCTTTTTTTTTTTAAAGCTGCCTCGCAATTTCCTTTATTAGCCAAAGAAGTTGAAATATCAGAACGGAAAAGCCTGTTGACGGGCAAGCCAGTGTCTCGGAAAGGATTATGGCTATGTATCAACCGCGATATTTTCCAACAAATAACTAATGAAAGGAAATGAACCGCAACAGCAGCAATGAGTGATCAAGCTTACCAAAATCCCATCGGGACCAATTACTTTTAATGCTCTCTTCCATCGCTTTGGCTTTTATTTATATCATTTCTTGCTTTAGAATTAGAATGGTACATATTTTACAATAAAAGCCCAAGTGGTCGTAATTTTAATAATTAGGTACCTAGTATAAATATGTTTCACAATTTCCCATGCATAATGTCGCGGTTGACAGACAAAGAAACCATCCCATTATAGATATTTTGATGTAAAAAATGCTCTTTCTAGTGTTATAGTGGTGGTTTGAAATTTAAATTGTTAAAATGTAATTGTAACAATTAATAATAATAATAATAATAATAATAATAATAATAATAATAATAATAATAATAATAATAATAATAATGATAATAATAATAATAATAATATAATATTAATAATAATAATAATAGTAATATTAATAATAAAAATAATAGTAATAGTAGTAATAATAATAAAAATGATTATTATTATTATCATTATAATATTAATAAAAATAATGTTCTCCCTAATTAATTCCTTTGCGAGTGAATTTCAACTCCTGAAGCCGACTGAGCGACCTGTGTAGGAGAAAGGATGGCTATTATTATTTTTTACTGTCGCTCCGGGCGACTAAAATATTATTGATGGTGCCTTTTAAATTATAAGTAAGGAAAACCCGAAAACCCCCACCCACCATCATCGAAACGGTAACGCATAGCGATGTTTTTTTTTCTGGATATAATATCAACAGAAATTAAATTTCTGTTAATACGCCATCCATCAAATCTTATAGAAAACCATGCAAATAAATTCACATGATCTTCTATACGATTCGAAGCCGGATGTCTCTCAGCCACAAAATTGCTTGCATATGAATGCGAGCGTCTTAGACACCTACGTCACCGTTCCGAGCTCCTTTAGAAATTCAGGAAATCTTTTTACTTTTTTCTATAACTCTTTGCGGTGGTTGATATTTTTGTATGCATTATTTTGCCGCCATTATTATGGTAATCGCAGCCTTAATACGGGAAAAGGAGGAAAATACAATAGAGCCAAGAAGCAATAGTTTTCTGGGCTAAATATGGCTCTACTTGCCTATAACCGATAAAGATAAAAACGGCGGTGTTGAACGTCCAAATACTACAATATTATTTTAATTTAGTCTCGGGGGTACAAATTAGTTTCTCCTACGACCCCTATGAAAATATCAGTTAACGCACTGTTTTGACACTTCGAAAATGTCAAATATCATACGCGATCGGTAAAAGACGAAAAGAAGAAGACATTTCACACACGTGTGTGATATTTTTTAAAAACGCACAGTAACGATTTAAGTCATAATAATGCATAAAAAATTAATAATCTATCCAAATAGATTATTTTGGTTTATTTGATTATTAGATTTTGCAAGAAATAATTATTTACTTCTTAAATTACTTATTTGTGTATCTAAAAAGTACACGAAAGTTTTGTCAGCTCCTTATAAACTAAAACTATGCAACCAGTCATACAGGCAATGTCAGAATGGTTTGAAAATGTAAATAAATACTATTTAGAAATATGTGTAGGTTATGTTTTAAATTGTTACTGTGTTTATAAAAATTATTTCGAAACTTCCCAATATTCCCAATAAGCACTTTTTGTATAAAAATTTAAGTAAAAATGGGATAATAAACCGACCGCGACCCGATAATCTAGACCTGAAAACTTTAAATTAAAAAAAATTGTGCTACATGTATTATTCCTGTTATATATAGTAGTGTGGAAAATTTCGAAAGTGAAGGCGAATATTCGATGGAATGTACTACGCCAGAGATATCGGCAACTGCTCAAATTATGTCGTTAAAGTTATTACCAGAAAAATCAAAAGATAGGTACATCAATGCCTACAACCAATTTATGCAATGAAAAAAAGACAACAACATTGAGACTTCTTTTTCTAAAAATGTATTAGGTACTAACATATATTGACCAATTGTCCAAAAAAGTTCAACCAACAAATTTATGGACACAATACTCTATGCTTCGGAGTACCTTGTATATTAACCATAACCTAGACATTAGTAAGTATTTAAAGTTGAAGGCCTATCTTAAACGAACAAATAATGGTTATATGCCAAAAAAAAAAGTACTAACTCCTCAAGAAATTAATGAATTTCTAGTTGAAGCACCGACAAAGATTACCTTTTTACAAAAGTAAGTTATTTTTTCCTATATTTTATACTATCTTTTCAATCTATATTTTAGGTAGTACTAGTTATAGGAATATCAGGTGTGTGCCGTAAAGAGAAACTAAAACAACTAACTGTTGATGATATAAATGACTTGGGAAGTGCGTTGAAAAATACCAAAAACAAAGCAACTAGAAAATTTACAATCACTGACAATTTTAATGGGATATTTAAAAAATACTTTAATTTAAGGCAAAAAAAAATGAAAAACAGTTTTTTATAAATTATCAAAAAACAAGATGCACCAGTAAGTAGTCGGAATAAATAAAATTGGCAATTTACCACGAGAAGTAGTGAAATTTTTAAAATTAAAAAACCCAAATTTGTGTACTGGGCATTGTTTAAGACAATCGTCTGCAACAATACTATTTGACTCAGGTGAAGACATCACCTCTTGTAAGCGGCGTGGAGGCTGGAAGTCTTCAAATGTTGCAGAAGGTTACATCGAAGAGTCAATATGAATGAAAATATCAGAGAAAATAGTTGGGCCAATAACAGGTCCTGCAACTTCAACAGCAACAGAAAAAAATCTGGTTTTAGAGGAAACATACTCAAATAATATAGAAAATAATACAGAATTGCACGACTTAAACGTTGAAAAAATATACAAAATAATTTATTATCACATAATGTTTCTCAAACACCAATAAATTTTCACAACTGTTCCAATAATCATTTTACATTTAATTTTTATGGATCACATGACAAAAATTTAAAAAATGCTGTTTACTTTTATAGTTTTAAGGTTAGAAATAGATTTTATAGTAATATAATTAAATTGTTAATATCGACTAGTGTGCATTTGTTAACTGTTTGTAGATAGATTTATTTTCAATAAAAGTTCAATAAAAAAATATTTATTTAAAATTCTAAAACTTTATTTTAAACCCTAAAATTATACATGTCCAATGATTATTTTATAAGATTTATAAAATAATCATTATTAATTAAAATTAAAAATTTAAGAAGATTCAAAATGTTGGGGTCGTAGGAAAAATAGTTTACATAACTCGTTGGAAAGTGTATTCCTTGCACTCGTTACGTTTCCGCACTCGCCGCTACATAGCAATATTATTACTTATTTCTATTTCCATTTCTTGGGTTTGATTTTTTAAATCAATAATTAATAGATTGGATAGCTGACCCTGTACAGAAGGCAAATTGGAACTCATAGTTTGGAATACACATTTATTTCTTAATTCCTTGATATTAACTATGGTTGAATCTTATTCAGCACTGAATTGCTTTTATGTTACTAAAGGCAAAAAAAAATTAATTTCGAAAATATGAAACATTTGTCTAGCTCACTAAAACTCACTCTAGAAGTCTTCCAGTGTTAAAACCGATACCAAACAGAAATAACTTACCCAAAAAGGAATAAGCCCATTCTCTCTATCTTCCTTTATTGCTTGTTGGAGCTCTTTGCCCCTCATGGAATAATTTTCGTCCGATTCTATGTACCGTAAAGTGACCAATCCTATTAAAGCAGCTTTTTCAATGCTGGAATGTGCTTGATCGGAACAATATGCTACCAGTTTACCGTGAATTTCATGCTTACTGACATTCGGATAGAGATCCATGTACAATTTTAAAGCAACGTACCTTCCGGCTAGGAGGCTTATCAAAGTGCTTTCGCTAGCTGTGGTCTGAAAATTAAACATAACGCTGAAAGTACCTAGTACCTTGTACTTAGTTTTAGCTTCATACGATGCAATTAAAAAACATCTCTACTATTGCAAATGTTCAATTAAGAATAAATATCATTGAATAAAGTGCAGGTGTCCAACAAGGCTCTGTGTTGGACCCCATATTATTTATTTTATACATTTAATTTATTAAGCTTATTTTTAAAATTGGGATTTCCCAAAGCAGACTTAAAATCATATTTTCTACATTATTCAACATATTTCTAGTCTCAACATGATTTATAAACTAATAAAGTTATTTATAAATAGTATCCCAAGATTTATTTCTTCTTCTGTTCTACATATTTTGCCAATATTTTATATAATATGATATAAAAACATTTTACATTTTTTGTTGAATTTGACATATTTGTCTTATTTCCATTTAAAATGGAAGATTTGAAATCTGAATCTATATTTGACAGATTTTAATTTAAAGTTATTAATGTTTCTATAGTCTTTTAAAGTACATACCTGTATTACTCCTCCACCTGTTCCGCCTTTTTTATGGAGATAATCATCAGGTAGTCCTATCATTTTCGCCAACCAATTCATGACAACAATTTCAAGTTCTGTGCAAGCTGGGCTGGAAGCCTGAAATTTAAAAACACAATCTGAATTAATGGTACGCTAAATTTAAAAATTGTAAAAATATGTAGTAAAAATAGAAAACGTAGGAAAACGTAATAAAACATAAAATAAGGTAACGTGAAAACAACAAAACGTAAAAATCATAAAATAATGTAAAAAAACTTTAAAAACCATATAAAAAGCTAAAAAACTGGACTCGAAGCCTTAATACAAAATCGGAATTAGTGGTAGATCCAATTTTAAAAATGTTTAAAAAAGTAAGGGAACGTAGTAAATATAATAAAGGTAGGGAAACGTAAAAAAACCTAAAAGGTAAGAACGTTAAAACCCACAAAAAAATGAAAATCGTAAAATGAGACTTCTTTTAAAACGTAAAAGCACTTAAAGACACTTAAAAAGACATAAGGATACGTAAAATATCATAAAAACTATCAAAAGAATATAAAAACTCGTAAAAAGTAAAATTATTTAAAAATGTAATGTAGTAGAGGTAACAATAGTTATTTATGCAACAAGTGTGTAAAGTTACTATTTTTTGACGAATGTGAATGTTGTCACAATCACATGAGTCAAAAAAGGGACTTTGTTGCATACACTATTTTGTCTACTGCCGTACACATTATCCACTAATATTAGAAATGTAAAAGTTACTTTTTATCACTAAAATATTTTTTTTCACTTTACGCACTAGTGAAAAAAAGTACAACTTTGTGCACTCCTTGGAGTGCGTAAAGTATGTACGCACGGTAGTAGAAAAAGTAATTTTTGTACCTCAGGGAGTAAAACATGCATTTTACGACCTCATTTTAGGGACTGAAGTATTTTAGTCCCAAATAATTTAAAAAATTTAGTCCCGCAAATAATAAAACCAATAGAAACTATAGCAAACTACTTTCTAAGCGAATAAATTTATCGATTAACCCGAAAATAGTTTTGTTTGAAAATTTGCATATATTTTTATTTATTAATAGTACAACACAATTGATTACTATAAAATGTCAAAATAATAAATTTCTATTTAACGTTTAGTGTATACCTACTTAATTTACGCCTGCCTTGTAAGCAGAGGACCCAGGTTCAAAACCCCGACAGGTTATTTTTTATTTTTCTTCTTTTTTTTTTCAATAACTTTTCACAATCACTAAGTAATGATTAAATAATCTTTATGAAATAATATTGAATGTTTCTTTTCACATAATTATCGTGTAAATTTCTAAATTTTAGTCCCTGCGAAACAAAAAATAGCGTATGTACCACGAGACTAAAGTGCGTTTTAATCCCTCGAGTGATTGTTGCCCGAGTGGAGCGGGATTAAAAGTGGCACTTTAGTCCCTTGGTACGTAATATACTATTTGTACGATACTGTATTAAAAAATGTAACACCAAGATTTTCCTTACCCAAGTAAATCCTATACAGTTAATGGCATTGGTAATCATTTCGCCCAACATGGACGGGTAGCTATTCAGTGCCGGAAAATAGGCATGCATGTGGGGGCTCTGCCAATGCGTCACCCCCGGCATTATAATCGATTCTACGTCTTTGAAAATATCCGACCATTTTTCGCCGTCTATGGGAGCACAATCGGGGATTTGTTCCCGTATGAATCCCGGTTTTTTGTCGGGAAACACTCGTCTGTCTCTGATGTTTTCCAAGTAGTTTACTATATAGTCTATTACAACTTTTCCTGAAAATAAATATTTTACTAAAGTAAAGAGATATTCAACTTCTGTTTGGATTATGATTAGTTTTAAAACAAGCCAAATCTTTTATGAAGAATAACATTTTTCACCCTACTCCTATAGAAAGTACACACTTTCCGCTCTCACATCAGGGAGGAAACGTACTTTTCGTACTTTTCCTCCCTAGGAAGGAAAGTAATTTTTCTCCTCCTCAGTTTGAGTATGTTGTAAATGATAAAACTTGTGAATCTATTATATTCAAATTGATATTGGTGATTTCTAGAACATCTTGTTTATCCTGTATTCTGGTAAAAATTAAACATGAATGTTAATTTAACTTTAGGTTTTTAAATAAAAATATCAACTTCAGTATTAAATATGTTTTTTGGGTTAAGAATAAAAAAATCATAGTATGTTGAGGCTCAGTGACAGTAAACACTGCGATTGACTTTAGGGTGCAAAGTCGAGTTACGTTTATTCAAGTGACTGAATTTTCACATAAGCCACCTAATATTAAGGAACAAGCCAACATTGCGTCATTAAGGTGTTTACCTCTTATAATTTTCGGACTAGGATATCTCAAAAAGTAATTTTTTAAAAAATTTAAATTTTTGCAAACTAAATTAGGCAATAATATCTAGAATATGCATATATTTTAAAATTCCTTCCAGTTTCCGAAAAAAAAACAAAGGGCTTTAAATTTTGAAATATCATAATGAAAATAAATGCTATCCTCAAGAGCACTATTCTTAATATAATCCCTAAATTTAAGCAGAACTCAGCTGAGTCGGACTTGGGTAAGACATTCTTAAACGAAAAATCGAAGTTCGGTTATATCACGTGAATTTAGAGATGGGTAGTAACAAATCTGTAAATGTATTTAACAGTTACAAAATTGCTAATATCCATCTCTAAATTCCATTGTAATACCGGAACCACCTAGAACTTTAGAGACGTTGTTACTGAACTTCAAGGACGACTTACCCAAGTCCGACTCAGCTGAGTTCTGTTTATAAATACGGACCATAATGTCTTGTAAATGATTTTTTAAAATTCGTAAAAATTAGTGGCAAAATGCCTCGTTAAGTGCTGCCTTCTGGTGTAAACTGGTGTAAATCGTTTCAAGAAACGATAGTAACAGGGGCGTTATTTTAAAAAATAAGTAACTGCCCTAATTTCTATTTATTTATATTCCCGAATATGGTAAAAAAGTGAAATTTATAACTTAGTGGTAAGGACATACCATAAATATAAAGGAAGAGTTAATTGGATTTTCTTCTTGTTGAGTTTCAAAAATATTAATTTCTCATGATTTAAAAACAAATACATGAAATGGGCAAAATAGGCCTGCAAAGGCACTTTGTGTGCAATCTCACCTGTATCGTTGTGACGTAATGGGCGAATTCAATTTGGCTTACTTTTGTTAATAGAGACTGGCGTTTCATTTTAAATATACAGTTCACTGGGAAAAGATTATTTAAATATACACCGATCAGGAAAATAAGTACGGAAAAAATTCACTGGCTCCTGGACTAGTACTGTATCGAAGGAATTTTATGAATGAAACAAATCTACTACCCTACTTACAAATACTACAATAACTAACGGTTGAACCCAGTTACGCTGTTGTCAGACGTAAATTCTTTTTGCATAATTTAAACAGTATTGCAAGCAAACGTAATTACATTACTACAGTTAAAAACTTGGCATCAATGTTTTATCCAAATATTGCATTTCTGCCGAGGATCATCTGCGTTGGCTTCAGAAATTTTGTAGATAATCATATATGTCTTTGTTATACTCGTATATCTATGGGCTTTACGGTATTGAGCTTGTGCTATGGGGTTGTAACATGACAAATGCCTCTTGGTACGTACGTAACAGTGACCTACATGGAGACCTCGGTATCATATTGGTTAAGGATGAAATTAAAAAGTTTGCTGGCAAACATGAAGCCAAGCTACATCTCCGTGAAAATGTAGAAGTCCTTCAGCTATTGAAAAATCAGCATCTACTTCGAATACTGAAGAGGACCAGCTATTCGAGCTCATGTTTAAAAACAGAGAATTGTGCATGATTTTATGTATATATTTATTGTTAGAACAACCTAAAGGACATAGTTGGATGAAATTTAGTAGTAAATAAATATTTAGTTTTAAGATTTTAGCGAACTTAAATCAATGGTTGATCAATAGTGATCAGATTTAATATCTCAAACGCCAGGTTGTCATTTTATATTTTAGCCGTTTTGGAGATTTCACCAAATGTATTCCGTGATATAAGGTACTGATAATGTAGGTACACGTTAAACTCAACCCTCAAAGAAGCTGAAAAATGTTGAATTCATGAACGCATATTGAAAAATTGAATCGAAAATATTGTCAGTATAAGAGTAGCATTGACAATTAATAATTTAGACAATGTATGTATTTCTTAAAAACTGGTGTTTGTAGAGTTGTCGTAACCTACGATATTATTTACTAAGATCTGTCCTAAACAATATTGAATTCCTAGTTTAAAAAATGATTTTATCTACACCTATTTTCTTTTATCAGAAAATGTAACTTAATATTGGAATCCGAAGTTTTATCTTATGAAATCGTAAGGTTTCCCATCTATCTATTAAATTAAATAGATATTGACAAAATACTAAGTTAAAAAAAATAGTCAAACAAAACAGCGTATAAATGTCAGTTTAACCAGTATGTATATTTTTCAATAACGCGTGTATGCAAAGGTTTTATTACGTCATAAAGAAAATGGGGCTTCGTAGAATTCCGATTGACTTGAACGTAATTTTTACTTGACACGTTTACTTGTTGCTCTATACGGATTTATTGCATTGCACATAGAATTTAAGCGCGGTGGTGTTATACATATAGGTTAGTTCATAATGGACGTATATTATTAGTGATCTTCAAAATTTATCAGAATATACAAGGTGTTTCAAAATTTGATTCCGTATTTTTAATTTAACGTGTCCCATTATTTTACCATATATTTTTGTAATAAGTAACTATTTAAACTTTTATTATTTTTTATAATTAACTGCTTAATAACTAACAAAATTATTAACGTAAAATAAATTAAGGCTTCTGTTCTCCTCAACTAGACCCAATTTTCTGCGATGACTACCCATTAGGTCCGGGACGACTTAAACATCTATTTCGATATTCTTTCTAAAAATTATACGCCGTTGCTTTTCCTTTATTTTCGGCTTGTCATCCTCTATTATACATTTTGTGACATAAAAGTGCCCAAAAATCTTGAATTAGGCGGACCTGAGGTAAATTAGGGGGTTATATTGTTTTGGTTCAAAAGGTACGTTATTTTCGGAAGACAA